GCCAATCGACCATCTTCGGATCTAGTTCGAATTCACCGCAAATGCGTTCGTACGCACGTCTATCGTACGGATTGTTTACGACATTCCACCCCACGTCCTGCGGAATGGGGGCGCTGATTTCATTCAGGATACGTCTGATCTGGTAGTACACGTAAAGATAGAATACTCAGTTCATAACGACGAGTGTCGTTCAACGTCACGCTGCATCCCGTTGTCTCACACCACACAGCGAAATTGAATTGATTCTGCCGAAACTGCATCGGGTTGTGGAACCGTGTAAAGCGTGTACCGTTTTCACGTTCGTGACTGAAAACCCGTAATTTTTAAACCCATCGATGAACCGAACCATGAAATGTAAACCATCCTTTGCATTGACCACAATACTCAGTTGCGCGAGATCGGTAGCACTTATCTTATTATCGCGTTTAGAAAAAAACAATCCTGGTTTGTACATATTGAATTCTTATATAGTATGCATATCTGCTTTTTCAATATATACGCAACGCTTCCGGGAATCACGAGCGGAGAGCCCATTCAACTGCTGCACGCAATCGATAACACACCAGGTCAGCTCAAAGTCGCTCTCTGCGACATCACCTACTATCCGCAATGCACCAACATCGACGGGCACAACTACAGGCTGTTCGTCAACGACAATCGCAACCAATTAACATACGGCTACTACAGTGTGTGCTCGCTCAACGATGAAATATTCAAACCCGTGGGAGCTGAACTCAAAATGAGCGCCTCGAACAGTAGGTTGTGCTGGTCAACAAGGGAGAAAACACTTTGAGACTCAGCCAGCCGTTGAGTAAAACGCTCGGGTTTACGTTCAACGTAATACAACCGAAAACCACCATGACTGGTAGGAAATTACCCGAACTTGTTCCTCGAACTATGCATTCATCTCGATCAGCTGAGCACGACCAACAACTTTCAAGGCGGACGACATTCAACGCTGCTGAGAGCTGTGCCAGTGAAAACGGAAAAGTAAAACGATGGTAGAACCGAATCGTTTTCGTCGCGGCAGTACAAGAAATTAAACCAAGGCACCATCACAGAATTATAAAAATATCATTTTTAGACATTAAACATAATCCAGTCAAGACAATGACGGAAGCTTCGGGTCCTGGAACGACCCTGCGACCGAGAAAATGCCATACCATCGCGCTCTCTGACCTCGGAGACACACGCGGATTCGACTAGCCCGGAATCGAGGGCAAACTGTATGCATTGCAACTGAAAAACAGCATTTACAAACGCGTCGAACTGCCACCCTCTACTGCCGTTGGTGGTGGCAACGACCTAGGCAATTTCATTGATACCGAAGGAGCGGTCAACAACACTCGGTATGACCTGATACGCAATGATGAGGACGAATGGGCGATAACCCCAGCCTTCCGCGGCAGGCTGTTCCAACTGGATGACTTTCAGACCACGGCCGTCTCGAGAAACAGACAGTACACTCTCATCTTCAACAAAGACAACAAATGGGTATTAGTGCCATTCCAAATCGACTGGAATCTCAACATCACGCTCGACTCTCCACACGTTTTCACGAACAACAAGGATCACTACCTGACGAAAGTCGTGAACAATGGAACGCTGCTCATGGCTTATGTCCCTATGCAAAGACGCAGCGTGAGCCTCAGCATGTTGAGTCAAAGAATAGCTCACATGCTGTCGAGCAAACCCAGAATGCAAAACGTGTGATTGCAGATGGTGTAGAATTCGACAGCGTGGTATCGGTCCTGGAAAATCTACCGGCAAAATCCACGCTGTACATCCAAGTCTACCTGGGCGAACCGCCCGTCGGCAGCGTAATGTCGTCGAAATCATGAAAAGGATCAAACTCCACTGGGCCAAACAACAACAATACCAAGTTTGCTCCGTTTACTTGCGGGTGAACGTTAACGCCGACACCAGTCTGCAGGGAGTCACCGTGAGTGACCGTGACCGTGGAAGACACGATATTGCTCACCAAAATTTTCCTACTCGACAACATACATCTCATGGGTTTGAAGTGCACGTCCTATGAATTATCCGATAACCAATTGAAAACTATTTCGTAAAACATCATATATAAACGAGATGAACCATCATCATCCCAACGTAACGCTAGCTGATCTCGGAGACACACGGGAATTCGATCTGTCCGGTGAGGAAAACACCTTGTACGTCCTGCACTTAAAAGACAACATATACGATCGGGTGTCACTAGCAGACGTCAAACAGCCAGACTGGTTGATCGACATGACCCTCACCTCACCCCACATATCTTTTAAATACAATGGTTACGTCTCCAAAATTACGAACAACGGGATCCTTCTCACTTTTGTCATTCCAGAGTTTGATGTACAAATTTTACGAATACCAGGTCACACGGGCAACATGTTAGCTTCAAACGACGTGGCTGATATTTACGGTTTGACGTACATGATTACCAACGGGATTTTTTCAATTCAAATTTGACTTTCAAATCACACACCACGCTCGTAGTAGATGTCTATCTCATTGACGCTCGTGGGAGGTCAGAACGAACACTTTTGACTGGGTTGATAACACACTGGTTAGACACAATCACCAACGGTATCGTATCGTCATAGGACCAGGATCGAAATCCTTAATAAGCCTCGATGGAGTGCGTGTTATAGAAAAAAATTCGATTCATGTCTCGAATATTTACGTGTACGATAATTTAATCCATATCAGCCTCAAATACATTGATCGGATATTAACGGAAAACCAATTAAATATTATTTTATAACAAAATATATATACACACACACAAGATGGGACTGTACCCAGTCGTAGATGAAGTAGCAAAATCACTGGAAACCGTAGACGGGTTTTGTTTGCGACAGATATGCGAGATCAAACAACAACTAGAACGTGAACGCGATACGTGGTCGGCATTACAGAAAAAATATCCTAGGGCCGTCAATTCCTCGGACGGTGTTGACAGCGCTATGGTTTCAGTCAGTATGGGATTAGGTGTAGCAGGTATCAAGTTATTATCCACCATCGTGGCTGCACCCGTGATGCTAGTCATTGAAATAACAGCCGGAGTGGTATGATTGAGCCTTAAGTACGTGTCTCGCTGACTGCAACGTAAAGCAATCGAAACACGACGAAATTAGAATTTTAGCCGAAGCGAAGTTAAACATGGCAGACGATCATATTTCATTGATTCTAAAATCTCTGAAGAAGAGTTTCGTTTGGTGCTATCAGAAATCGAAAAATATCACAGAATGACACAGGAGATTCGGACCAAGTCTCGTAAAAACGCCGTCATTTGTGAAGACGAGAATATTTTTTTCATAGAACAAGGGAAGCAACAGGCCCTACAAGCCTTCATTACGAAAACTAAACAAATCATAGAAGGAGATTCACAATAAACTGTTTCGCGGACATCAACATAACGTAGTCAGCCAGACCAAGGCGACTCTCGGGAAGAATGCCGAGACCTGCGTTTTCATTCCGCTTCACACAGCTGTCGCCTCGCTAGTCAGCCGGCCGTGCATCATAGCCGAGCCGAGACACACACACTGCGACTCGCCCACACTGCTCGCTCAGTGGTACCGAGACGGCAGCTAGTCGACACAGGGGAATGGCCGAGAGAGCCAGCCAGCCAGTCGGCTGTACAAGCCGAGCCAAGCCACACGCTGCGACTCGCCCACAGCGCTCGTTCAATGCTACCGAGACGGCAGCTAGTCGACACGGGGGTACTGCCGAGAGAACCAGCCAGCCAGCGAGTCGGCTGTACAAGCCGAGCCGAGCCACACACTGCGACTCGCCCACAGCACTCGCTCGGTGATACCCAGACCCATTCAGCTAAAAACACCTCTCGCCTCGATAATATATAGCAAGTACGACAATACCTTGGATTGTTAGCCTTTCGCCAGACCAACCCCATGCTCACTAAAAAGTGATTTTTTTCCTAAACTATTTGACCGATTTTCGTGAAATTTTGCATGCATCTCGGCAGATGGTTACGCTATAGCAAAACAGCATTGGGAACACTCTCGATGACTTCATTAGATTAATTAAGACTTAATTACGACAGTTGAACATTTTACCTCTTCCCGACCGACCCCATGCTCACATAAAAGTCAATATTTCGGAAACTATTCGACCGATTTTCAAAGACGGCGAACCGAACTTGTACTACTTGAAAGACGGGCCGCCGAGAGCATTCGTCAGAGAGGAGTTGATTATGGTACCTCACGACACAGTCCCTTTTCAATCACCCACTGTATGATAATTGTCATCATTGTGTGCGTGCGTGTGTGTGTGTGTGCGTGCGTGCGTGCGTGTGTCTGTGTGTGTGTGTGTGTATGAATCAAAGGCCTTGATTTTTCCCGAGGGGACCTGGTCCCGTACCATCATTGTCTATACTACTCATATAAACACACACACACACACACACGCACGCACGCACACACACACACACACACACACACACACACACACACACACACACACACACACACACACACACACACACACACACACACACACACACACACACACACACACACACACACACACACAAACACAAACACACAAACAAACAAACAAACAAAAGAACTGGCTTATGACAAAGGAAATACAGTTTGATGTACAATCTGTGGGGACCCAAAGACGATATGTGAGTATCCACAAAAAAAGGAAAGTTAAAATCGCCTTGCTCTCATTCACCACTATTTTAACACAAATACTGACACGCAAAACATATGCTTGACGGTACATTATCGGGCCATAGAATGTACATGTATATGCCTAGGCTCTGCACTTCACGTACATCAAAAGGAAGGACCTTGAATTGCAGAAATAACAGAGTTTGTCAGAATTTGTTCCAGTCATACACTGATACATAGGAAAATATCATTGACAAATCAAACATTTTACATGCAAGGTGTAAATCATTTATCATTCAATATTTCTTGAAAACATTATTACAATGTTAAACAATATAACTTGAAATACAAAAAAAAGAGTGGGATCAGGACGTTATTTACTAAACAAAGAATTAAAAACATCCTGAATCAATCATGACACACGACATAAAAGACAGATCAGTAAGAAATTGATCAGAAAAAATAGCCAAACATGTACATGAACTAAATGCTAATGACTGTATGGTTATATAGCTCTGGCTGTTGAATATATACTGATTCCATTAATTAATCTATTGCTCTGATACTAGAATTAGATATAGTAGATATATGTCATATTTCACTTTGATCGATTTGACCCGTTTCTTTCATGAAATACACATTTTCGAATGGACCCACAACTTCAACATCACAAGCTTCTCCATTGTCAGGTGTACGGATTGCTCCAGTTTCGACATCGTTGGTATCATCACAGCATTCGTGATCTTCATGTTCTTCAAAACCATTGTTTTCATAGACTTGCTTCCTAGTTTTGGTAGTCTAAAAATAGAAATAAGCACGATTTGGAATTTATTCAAAAATAATTTCATTATCTGAGATTCAGAGACGCAATCTTTGAAAAACGTGACGTTTTTGTGCCTTACACCATTAAATATGTTTCTGTAAGTATTACTATAAATGATCTAACATTTCTTTCAAATTGGATGAACGCAAAGTATCAATACAGTTATGTGTCTCCCAATGTGTTACATGTCGCATCATCATGATACATATCATGGGAAGGTACACGCTTCTGACTGATAATTGTGTTTCTGGTTTCTCTGCTGAACGATTGACTTTTTTCCAACATTTTGATAGAAATTCATAATCACATGCTAATTACATAGTCGGAACAATGTAGTCAGCTCTGCTTTTAGGAGAAAGTTCTCATGAATACCAGAAGGCTTTGGTAGTTCTTATTTGATAAGTATGCTATGCGGAAACGGAATAGATTCCGTCTATAGCATTCTCCTTCAATTAGTATAAATAATCTTACCAATGTCGCCTTTATTCTTTCGTCACGTGTTTTTGCTCCATTCCTCGGAATCGTCATACAGAGGCAAATGACAGTGATGACCAGAAGCGCCGAAAACAGCAGTGTAAGTAGTGGTAGGAGATTTGGCTGTGCTTGACACTTGTTTGTAAATAGACCGACGTCTTCTTTTGTTCCATGTGGACATGACAACAGGCACTTTCCTTTATATTGAAACTTATTTCTTTCATGACATTCATATTTATAGATGCATGCCTTGCCATCTAGGAGTTTGTCTGAATCACACTCAATACATTCCGTGTCAGTGGCTCTCTGACCTTGCGGGCATTGGTGGTGACATTTGCCACTGCTGTGATATGGAGCCTCTTCAGGACAGGTGATTACACATGTTCCGTTGAAGACAAAGTTACCTTGCGATATGCACCGTTCACTGCTGATACAGGTGACATTTTGTGCTACTGTGTTAACAGGGCATGCTAACACACAGTAAGTTGCGCCATATATTCCTGGAGCTGAAAGTGGTGCTGTCTCGGGACAACTTGTGAGGCATGTGTTATTGTGTATAACCTTCAAATTGCATTGATATGTGACTATACAATGCTTGTCTTCTGCAACTTTGCCCAATGGACAGACCGCATAGCATCTGTTATGGTCAATATATGGTGCTTCCACAGGACAAGATTCAACACAAGTGCCATTAAACATAAACATATAGAGATAATTAAAATGGGTACACTTTGTTCTGGTTATACACTCCTTGTGATACAGCGCTGTTTCTCTAGGGCATTCATCCACACAGGCTTTACCACTAACATAACGCGGACATTCCGCAACGCATGTTCCATTGAGTATAAATTGTCCTTTGTCTGTGCAGACAGAATCCACAAGGCAGGTGGACAGTGAAGCATTGGGTACAGTTCCTAAAGGACACTGGCTGTAACATTGCCCGTCATAGATGTTTGGGGCGTCAGGCGAACAGGATCCCACACATGATCTATTTTGAATAACCTTGCCTTCTTCGTGTATACATCTGTGTTGTGTAATACACTGGTGATTGTAGGACACTTTCCCATCCCGACAGTCCGAGGCACACCTTCCAGCATCAACATATGGAAATCCAGGCGAACAGGATCCCACACATGATCTATTTTGAATAACCTTGCCTTCTTCGTGTATACATCTGTGTTGTGTAATACACTGGTGATTGTAGGACACTTTCCCATCCCGACAGTCCGAGGCACACCTTCCAGCATCAACATATGGAAATCCGGGCGGGCACTGGTCTGTACATGTGCTGTTGGAGATGACCTTCCGAGCTTCAGTGCAGTCGTGGGGATTTATGCAGTGAGTAGTGTTAGTGACGGTTTGATATGGACAATTATGAACACAAATATCAGACATTGTGACCACAGTCCCCAGCGGGCAGGAGTCAACACAACTCCCATTGTACACGAACATACCCCTAGCTGTACATTGTGTTGAGTTTAAGCAGTTGGAACCGTTTACCACCGTGTCATCCGGACATGATCTGTGGCAGGTGCGAGCATCATAAGAGAGGTACAGTGCCCCTGGACAAGTCCGACGACAGTAGCCATTGGATATGACAAAACCTCTTTCAAGACATTGTTTCTTTGATATGCAGCCCCACTCATGTAACACCTTCACATAAGCTCCCGGACAGTATTGTGCAGATCCACGTATAAGAAAATAGAAAAGCACAAAGAAGAATGACATCGAACTTGAGAGCTTCATTATAGTTTCAAACAGCCATGTAATATTTCCGTGACTTTGTTCGCTTTTCGTGGATCTTTTTTTTGTAATTAGATGTGATGTTCTCAATTGGGTTAATCTGAAGAAAAGGTAAAACAGACAAACAATTGTGACCTACGTGGACATGCAGTTGCTGAAACAAACTGGCAGTTTGTCATGTGATTATGCACTGTATGCCATCTACCACATGTGGTCAATGGTTACCTATGTAGCTATTTACCACATGTGGTCAATGGTGACATATGTAGCTATTTACTACATGTGGTCAGTGGTGACTTATGTAGCTATTTACCACATGTGGTCAGTGGTGACCTATGTAGCTATTTACCACATCTGGTCAATGGTTACCTATGTAGCTATTTACCACATGTAGTCAATGGTGACATATGTAGCTATTTACCACATGAGGTCAATGGTGGCCTATGTAGCTATTTACCACATCTGGTCAATGGTGACATATGTAGCTATTTACCACATGTGGTCAGTGGTGACATATGTAGCTATTTACCACATGTGGTCAATGGTGACCTATGTAGCTATTTACCACATGTGGTCAATGGTAACCTATGTAGCTATTTACCACATGTGGTCAATGGTGACCGATGCAACTCTTTACCACATGTGGTCAATGGTGAAGTAAGTGTGATGAATGCCTTTTTACCACATGAGGTCAATGGTGGCCTATGCAGCTATTTACCACATTTGGTCAATGGTGACCTATGTAACTATATGACACATGTGGCCAATGGTGGCTTATGTAGCTATTTACCACATGTGGTCAATGGTGACCTATGTAGCTATTTACCACATGTGGTCAATGATGACATATGTAGCTATTTACCACTTGTGGTCAATGGTGACATATCTAGCTATTTACCACATGTGGTCAATGGTGACATATGTAGCAATTTACCACATGAGGTCAATGGTGGCTTATGTAGCTATTTGCCACATGAGGTCAATGGTGGCCTATGTAGCTATTTACCACATGTGGTCAATGGTGACATATGTAGCTATTTACCACATGTAGTCAATGGTGACCTATGCAGCTATTTACCACATGAGGTCAATGGTGGCCTATGCAGCTATTTACCACATTTGGTCAATGGTGACCTATGTACCTATATGCCACATGTGGTCAATGGTGACATATGTAGCTATTTACCACATGTGGTCAATGGTTACCTATGTAGCTATTTACCACATGTGATCACTGGTTACCTATGTAGCTATTTACCACATGTGGTCAATGGTTACCTATGTAGCTATTTACCACATGTGGTCAATGGTTACCTATGTAGCTATTTACCACATGTGGTCAATGGTGACCGATGCAACTATTTACCACATGTGGTCAATGGTTACCTATGTAGCTATTTACCACATGTGGTCAATGGTTACCTATGTAGCTATTTACCACATGTGGTCAATGGTGACCGATGAAACTATTTACCACATGTGGTCAATGGTGAAGTAAGTGTGATGAATGCCTTTTTACCACATGAGGTCAATGGTGGCCTATGCAGCTGTTTACCACATTTGGTCAATGGTGACCTATGTAACTATATGACACATGTGGTCAATGGTGGCTTATGTAGCTATTTACCACATGTGGTCAATGGTGACCTATGTAGCTATTTACCACATGTGGTCAATGATGACATGTGTAGCTATTTACCACTTGTGGTCAATGGTGACATATCTAGCTATTTACCAAATGTGGCTAGCTGTCTTCCATTACCTTACATTATATGCAGATATTTACCTGTACGTGGCTGTAGTGACTTCAGCTTGAAAACGGTGCGAGATTCTTCACCAAAACCTCATTCACTGACACAAACCAGAATTTGTTGACTTTAACGCTGTCGTTGTTCTTATTTCTAATTCAAAGGTAATGTTAATACACACCGTCCTGCTATTCAACATGTTTTCCACGAACTGTACTGCACAACGGCAACAATGGGTACCATGGCTGTTGTCAAAACAAACATTGGCTACGGGCTTCCCAGTATTCTAATTTTGGATCCATGTCACTTTGAACGGTGGTGACATTAGTCGTCGGTGTACGTAGAAATAAACAGTTGAGAAGCATTACAGGTACGTAGGGTAATGTGATCATGGCACTTGCATATTATAGGTTCTGTTTTAAATAGCAAGTAGTGGGAAAGAATGGTGGCCTGGTAAGATACTAAGTTATGATGTTGTTGATCTATTTACCAGTGTACCCATTAACGAAACTCCCCACACCCTCTGGCACCACCTTGATATCCTTGACACGAACCACTCCACTGACTATCATCCAACTCATTTCTAACTCCATCACTTCCACCTACCTTACCTGGGTTGATAACATCTTCGAGCAGATCCATCCACTCTCTCCTATCCATTCTGAAATCTATATGACTTCTTTCGAGCAACAAACTCTCCGCACTTTACTAATCAAACGAGCCTGCTGGTTCAGGAAGGTTGATGACACTTTTGTTATCCTCTCCCAAAATCACGACCCCACTGTCCTTCTCCAACACCTTAACCAATAGCACCCCCGAATTCAGTTTACAAGCGAACCAACTTCTTTCCCTGACGTTCTGGTCACCCGCACCGCTGACAACACTATCCAAACCTCTGTCTACCGCAAACCCACACACACTGACCAATACATTCAATTCCTCAAAACTAAAACCGGCATAATCTCTACCCTCACCCGCCATACTGTCAATCTTTCCTCTGCCTCACCTGAACCCGAGCTCCAACACCTTCGCCACGTTTTCACCCAACTTACCAATTACCCCACTAAACTTGTTGACCAAGTCATCAAATCCACCCTCAACCGATCACCTAAACCAGGGAGATTATATAACGATTGTAGACTATCCCTGCCTAAACTCACCACTTACAAGCCCAAATCTGCACCCATCCGCATCCCACTACCATACATAGGCAAAACATCACATCAGTCATTTATTACAGCAGCAAGCGGCATTCACCACACTTACTTCACCAAAACGACACCACTAAAAACCACCATTAGGGCTAATGGTAGAAATACGCTACACAACAACAAACAACCGAAAGGTGTGGTCTACAACATCAGCTGCGACTATGACAGCAACTACATCGGGGGAAAATCAAGATCACTCAACACAACACCAGCCCAGCACAACATTAATTGGGACACTAGCAAACAATCAACATCATTACACTGCAAGAAAATTGACTGAAGCACTACACATAAAAAGACACCGCCCAAAACTTAACAGGGACCAGGGCTATTTTATCACATCAACTTACCACCACCTAATCCAAAACTAATTAACTGAATCTCCCTCTCTCTGGCTTCTCTAACTAACCCTCTCGCCTAATTAGTTTTCCCCACTCCCGCTGGTATCCTATCCATCATGCTCTTATCTTGCCTCGTCTTATCTCATGTGTAGCTACAAGGTATTTCTACACCTACTCGTCGCTATGGTACAATAAGGGAGTTGATCATCCATAAAGACTTGTCATCCCTATTACTCTGGTGGTTTTAATGCTCTGGCCCAACTAATACGAGCAGCTGATTGGTGTTTAATAGTGTTCGTTATTGATTATATGGTTTGGAATATTGCCTATATTGTAGGATGTACAGAATGATCATTTGATGATATTTTACATCAGGTTGGTATGGAAACCAAGGAAGAAACAACAAAAGTTGAACTTGAAGAAAGTGACCATCATCTCGTTCAGTTGGATGTTGGTGAGTCAGTATCCTTCAAAACGACTTCACCTGAGATGTTGGATGACAGAATCCCTGATATTCCCAGTGGGAAGTCACATCATCTTTTCATCTCCCACAGTGAAGAAGACGCCGAATGGGTAGAACATCTGGTGAAAGTTCTTGAGGACAAGCATGGTGTTACGTGTCTATGGCCCAAACGAGATTTTCTTGCCGGCCAGGGTGTACCAGGGCTGATACAAAGAGGAATAGCAGAAAGCATGAAAGTTGTGTTTGTGCTGACTCCAGACTCACTTGAAAGTCCATGGTGCGAACAGGAAAGAGACTGGGCCATTGTTTTGTCTATGGAAGAACGGCAGAACAGAATAATACCGCTTCTGTTAACGCCATGCAAAATACCCGACATTTTCAACACGTTCAACTACATCGATGTTCCCAAAGGAGAAGACTATGTGAACAGGACCATTCGGGCTCTCGCTGGAAAAGGTAAGGAGGTATCCCAATATCCGAAGCTTGGTGTAAACAATCTGCTCATGCGAATTAAGTGGTAACAATGGATAACAATGGCCCGACAACTGAACAGTACATGCGTTACATAAGTGCAATATTGCTCATGTACGACAACATCAACTTATCATCTAACCAATATTGTGGGAGAATCTTTAACTAAATTAGATGCATCAGATTTAATCCGAAATATTAAAATATGTTACACCAGAAATCTCGTAGAACAACGAAGAACGATATAGTGAAAGAAAAGACAAAAGATCGATGCTCATGCTTTTGGTGGATTGGTGGTCGAAACACGATTATTTACATACCTCCGCCATATAGCTGGAATATTGCTCAGTGAGATGTTTACAACAAACCAGCCAACCTTGAGTGTAATGCACATCGAATTCATCTTATTGGAAACCTAATGATATTACAGTACGTACACGCACACGCTTTGGTCAGAATCGGAAAGACTACCACAGTTGGCATTTACCAACGTCAGTCATTCACATTCATAGACTGTTACCGCAAGAAACAATTTCCCCAAGTCTACTACACTCGAAATAAATGCCTGGAGAATAGCTTCTTACAAATGTGGCGTTGGGTTGGCTTTAAATGTAATGCCAACAATTCGGCAATTTTTGAGCTGGGAACAAAAGAAACGTACCTGCAAGGTAACTGCATTCAAACAAAGGCACAGGGGTACATTATTTGTGCTGTCAATGTACAGGCCAAGGGACATGCCTGCTGTTTGCAAAGGCTATTTTAAATACATGGTATTAATTTCTAGGTTACACATGCACTGCCATCCATCTAGGTGCCCCTCCTTCTTTCAGACCTGTCAGACCTTCAACCACGCGTGATCAACTTTCTCAGGACTCAAGGTAAGCACAACCGCCGTCATATCACTATTCATTAAGTGTTGTAACTATTGACAAAAATATTTGTTGGCATTTTCAGAAAAAAAAAGAAACTGTTGGGAATTTTAAAACATTACACTAGTTGGACGGGCGGAGAGTAATACTATATCCACCGCTTCGAGCTAAACGCGCGGCGGGGGATATAGTATTACTCTCCGCCCGTCCGTCCGTACGTACGAATTGGAATATCTTAAGAGCCGTTCACTAGATTCTTTTCATTTTGATACATAGGTTCATCAATGTATAAGAAAGGGCCAAGTCAGGTTTGGTGACCTTGACCTTCATTTCAAGGTCACAAGGGGACTTTAACGTTTTACCTGCATGTTAAGCTATCTCAAGAACCGTTGCCTGGAGTTTCTTTAAATTCAACACCAAGCTTTATCTAGGGAAGGCGCAGGGTCCAGTCAATTTTGGTGACCTTCACTTAATTTTCATGGTCATGGCAACACTTTGAAAATGTTAGCATGTTAACCTGAATGTTAAGCTATCTCAAGATCCGTTCCCTGGATTTTCTTCAATTTTGGTGACCTTCACATAATGTTCAAGGTCATGGGGACACTTTGAAGATTTCAGCATGTTAACCTGAATGTCACGCTATCTCAAGAACCGTTGCCTGGATTGTCTTCATATTCAACACCAAGCTTCATCCACAGGGAAGGAGCAGGGCCCAGTCGATTTCGGTGACCTTCACTTAATGTTCATGGTCACAGAGACACTTTGAAGATTTCAGCATATTAACCCACATGTTATGTTTGTCAGCGAGATTCCTCAAGAATCACTCACTGGAGTTTCTTCATATTCAACACCAAGCTTCATCCAGGGAAGGCGCAGGGCCCAGTCGATTTTGGTGACCTTCACTTAATTTTCAAGGTCACCGAGACACGTTAAGATTGTCAGCAAGATATGTCAAGAACGGTTCACTGGATTTTCTTCATAGACTTTCAAGACTTCCCTTGAATGTGTTTCAATAAGCAATTTCTTTAGTACTATTTTTGCCTACTTCATACACTATGACATTCATGTCAAGGTCAAAGTCAATCTTGAAAATATGTGTGTTTGAACAATAAAGAGCAAGATATCAAGAGAGGTTGACTGGTCATATTTTTGTTGACATTTAACTTCATCTTAAACTTTCATTACTTTATAAGTTTGATTTGATAATTTGCGGCGGGGGATTATGTCACCTCAGTGACAATGCTTGTTTTTTTAACAGGTAGCGGATTAAATATGGAGTTCAATGGGTATAAATGCTCAACATATATGTGTGGAGGGCCATCATGGGCTTTCGGAGATCTGACGGAATCACAAAGACTGAAGCTTTCAAGACTTGGCAGCGAGGTAGAATCCATTTTATCTCTTTCATCTTTATTAGATACATGTGTAACTGATTGTTTGTGGGCACCATCTTTCCCTCAATGATTCCATATGTTGTACATGTATATAGATATATGTATATATTTAATGTTTATTATTATGAATGTATTTTATATATGATATACCTAATACATGTATATAAACTATGGAAGTTTTGCTTAAATGAATATGTTGAGATATAATTATCTTACAGTCTAAGTGTCTTTTCAGTACTTTGTGAGACCTCCTTGCCCGGCATATACACGACTGAATGAGTCTTGGTACACTACCGATCAAAGTTTGAAGGAAATCGTGACAGCGTATCCCAATATTCGACCACGTCTTTCTTCATATCCTCAATATTTCTAAGTCCTTTTTTGGTTTATTCTGTCCTTCATTAGTCCCCACCCATTCTCAATAGGGTTACGATCTGGGCTGTAGTTGAGCCAGTTTAAAACTTGAACATTTTCGCCCGACAACCACTGTTTTGTGTAGTCCACTATGTGTTTTGGGTCGTTATCACGCTGGACAATCCAATTATCTTCATACAGTGTTCGGGCCGTCAAATTTCCTGTGACAATACACAACGGTGTCACTCCACGTGATGATATCCCAACCGACATGTGGAATTTCGGGCTATATTTTGGGCGTTGTTAGATAGGTTTCACGGTATCTTCTGTGCAAATGTTCACACAGTTCAGAAAAGTCAGACAGAACTTTCATCAGAAAAACCCATTATACCAATCTTTATTTTCGTGAGTCCTACACCATTTTAAACGTCTTATTTGTGCATCTTTCACACCTGAAGACTTCCTCTATTAATCATCTCATTTCTGATATTCTCAACGCTTTTCAATTTTCCCCTACTCACAATCTGACCGTAGTACTGAACTTCCTTGACCTCACTGCCCCCGTCTTGTGCTCAATCTCCTGACTGAATATTCTTCAAAGTTCTGCATACTGCAGACAGAGGAATGCCATGTCAACTCCTTTGCATTGGTCACATCCCTTTCAAAATCATAAAACCAACTTTCTTTTCTCTTCTGCTACCAAATCTGCCATACCAACAAAGGAAGCCGTCTGCTACACCAGGGGAGATAACTCTTGATGTTGTAATGTTCATTTGTTAAGCCTGCAAGAGTTGCCTCCCATACTTACGTACCTTACTACATCATGTAACACCTATTTTAAAATTCCATTTTCAGTATTAGGAAACAAAGATTTACTCAATAATTTCTTGGAAAACTGTATGTATGTAAATCAACAGTCAATTAAATATTAATTCCATACAGTTTGCAGAAAACGTATATCAAGAGGCCAAAGATATTGCGAACAGATCCAGAGAAATGAAATTCTATTCCCTATCCAATCCTTTTTCCTGTCACGCGTGGGGCGTCTATCTGTGTGGTGTTCTCCTAACAACCCTGATGGTGTGCATTGTGATGATCCCACTGATATATTACACCGATGTGTTCTATGACGCTCTCTACATGCTGATCGTGATCGGTGTTGCTGTCATCGCTATACCAGGTGCACTTTGGTTGTTTGCAAGGAAGGTAGGTATGAAACTAGACTGACATCTAGTCTCTAAAGTGATAATATTTTACAGAAAAAACAGTTCACATATAATATTAATAAAATGTAATGAAAAGGATCCCAGAGACTTTCTTCATAATCCTGAAACTGTGGAAATATAGACTCACCACGTACTCTAGACTTGCAATGCACTTTCTTGGATATGTTGTTTCAGGGTTTGTATGACAGACTAGATTCAAACAGGTTAATTAAATTGCTGCACTTATTGCTCTTCGCAAAACACACACACAGACACACACAGATACACATCCACATACACACGCACACATGCACCCACACACAAACAAACTCACATTGCTTAATTATATTATATTTTGCTCTCATCTCATTTTTAAATTTGATATTTCTCTGTGTCTACAGTCATTAAGATAACATGCTCACACGACTGAGCCTTGAGTTAGAGACCTTCGTTATACAATATTCACTGACCGATCCTTGAACCACATCATGACTTCTGATGCATATTGCTATCCCCAATTTAATGTGCATTTTGCTTTCACCTAGAATGAGAAAAAGTTACGTGATGTCATTCAAGGTCACAGTATCCGAAATGTGATGAAAACGAGGATTCTTATCAACTACAACAACGTTTCCTTCCAACCCACAGTATCCTTTCAAATGACAAATAAATACGTTTATATCATGACCTAAATAGGAGCAACTCACTTAAGTCAAAGTATTTTCCTTAGTCTCAACTAGCTTCAGCTAATGTACTACGATTTGTCACCTTGTCTGGTAAGTTAGAAATGTGTGAACCATAGAGTATCCATAGTGCCTAGTGTAGAGCCTCGTGTCGCTAATCACGATATGGCTGAAATATTGCCGATGTGACGATAAATAATAACTCACTCACTCACTCGTGTCGCTAAAGTATCGTGTATTCTAAGTCTATGTTGTTCACTCGTTAAAACTATTGACATGAAATGATCTACAAAAGCCACAGCACTTCTTTGTACTTGTGTACATACATACATGTAACTACCAGTAACTACATCTGAAAACGGTTTAAACGGATGTGTGGGGCTCACAGACAATCCTCCTCATCAGGACGAATGCAAGGTTCAAGCCCACGTCTCGCAGATTCAGGCACAGCGAATGGACGCTGCTCAAATCGAAAACATTTGGCGATATATGCCATAAGACAACCATTATAATGTATCATTTTGTGGAGATGTAGGTAATGAAGCGATTTGAGTACAGGTTGGATGAGTTCCCAGTAACTCACCTTGCAGTTGTATTCTGCAATCTTTGCAGTCATGAGGCTGTTACAGTAGTCAACCCGTGAAACAATTCGTGATTGCAACGAGTTTGCTCCTGAAGTGAAAATGACAGGTTCTGCAAAGTTTGAGCATGTTATATTACAAACCAGTCAATACTAATATTTCCATTTCCAGAGGCATGTCTCAGACCACGTCATGAATCAGTCAAATGTTGTGCAGTTTGAAACAGAGACTTTGGAGAGGTTTAAGGTACAGGTACATCTTATACAAACATATCTACAGTCGAGTGCATTGTGTTATAAAAGTTGTATGATTTCTATCAATCAAAACTGCAAATGTGCCTGGTTCTTATCGGAATATGTAGATACTGTCAAAATATCAAGACTTATAATGTCAAATTAGAATGAGTATCTCCTGGGTTGAAAATGAATTTCTGCAGGTGTATAAGCACTAAATATAGACGATATGCGTCGCCTATTACTACATTTAGTTTTCATTGTACACCTGAAGAGCTGTTGAACGGCGAAAAGTCTTGTGTGGATAAATGAGTATTGACAAGAAGAACTATCTGGATTCATCTTTTACACATGTTCTATAAATGTTCCCATTACAAATGCATTCTTATGTCGATTTATATGAAGGTTTTCCATGCTCTTGAATAACTTTTTCAAATAAAGATTTATCGACATCAGGCTAAAAGGTGTTATCACTGAAGGTGTCAACGGTGATGTAGATATATCGTGACTAGGCTACCGATAACGTTGTGTTTTAAAGAATGCTTCTTTTGTTTCAGGCTAGAGCCAAAACTTTCGCCGAGCGACGTCTGTATGGATTTGTTCTGAGAAAGACTGACTATCTGTTTAACTGGAGCCGTCTGCCTGACTCTGAAGTACACAGACATGCAACATTCCAAAATAAGATGTGTGTATGTGAATTAATGACACTTTGAGGCCACCGTATTGTCTTCCAGACAACTGTAGTCACCATTATTTTCTGGACAGCTGACGTTGTCATTGTTTTCTGGACAGTCACCACTGTTCTCTGGACAGCGGAATGCATAAGTGTTCTAGGGTCAGCTGATATCACCATTGTTCTCTGGACAGCTGACGTTGTCATTGTTCTCTGGACAGCCGACATCACCATTGTTCTCTGGACAGCGGAATACATAAGTGTTCTCTGGACAGCCGACATCACCATTGTTCTCTGGACAGCGGAATGCATAAGTGTTCTCTGGACAGCCGACATCACCATTGTTCTCTGACAGCGGTTCTCTGGAATCACATACAGCGGTCATAAGGTTCTCTGACAGCCGACATCACCATTGTTCTCTGGACAGCGGAATGCATAAGTGTTCTAGGGATAGCCGACATCACCATTGTTCTCTGGACAGCGGAATGCATAAGTGTTCTAGGGACAGCCGACATCACCATTGTTCTCTGGACAGCGGAATGCATAAGTGTCCTAGGGACAGCCGACATCACCATTGTTCTCTGGACAGCGGAATGCATAAGTGTTCTCTGGACAGCCGACATCACCATTGTTCTCTGGACAGCGGAATGCATAAGTGTTCTCTGGACAGCCGACATCACCATTGTTCTCTGGACAGCGGAATGCATAAGTGTTCTCTGGACAGCCGACATCACCATTGTTCTCTGGACAGCGTAATGCATAAGTGTCCTAGTGACAGCCGACATCACCATTGGTGTCTGGACAGCGGAATGCATAAGTGTTCTCTGGACAGCCGACATCACAATTGTTCTCTGGACAGCGGAATGCATAAGTGTCCTAGGGACAGCCGACATCACCATTGGTCTCTGGACAGCGGAATTCATAAGTGTTCTCTGGACAGCCGACATCAGAATTGTTCTCTGGACAGTGGAATACATAAGTATTCTAGGGACAGCCGACATCATCTGTCTTCTCCGGTCAGCTGCAGCTATTGTTGTTTTCTACACAGCTTGTCATATCGATGATACGTATTTTGCCAATTGTCCATATTGTCATGTTTAGGTTATGCATTACTTCATGCAAGACGTCTAAGCGTCAACCAAAAATGAAGACAAAATAATGCAATCAACAGTGACGAGGTAATGCATATCCCCGAAGATTCCGGGCTGGAATGATTGGCCTACAAGTCAAGCTTTGGTACATAGCTACTTCCCTGAGTTGTCAGGCTCATTGATGTGGTGGGTCGCGTGTCACTTTACTTTTAGACCGTGGATAATGGATCATATTATATATAGCGGATCATGTCAGTCAGAGGGTTGACTTGTCCAAAGGTCATGCTTGTAACCGTCATGCTGGTGTGTGTACTCCGGTCCTTCTGGTTGTCAGATTCATTGTGCATTTGGAACAGATAAGCCGGAGGTGATTTCAACATGTAGATTTGGTTATGATTTAAGGAAATTGTTTTGTAAATATTCTTTGCAGATTTCGGCCACCATTGCCATATATTAAAGTTAAACTTGGCAGTGGATGGATTCACACTTAATTGTTTATTAAGTGCTATGCTTGTGAATATTTTATTATGCCCCTGGCCCTTATTCCACACAGGCGCTGTAGAGTATCAGTTGTATCAACATTTATAGTGCTAAACTAATAAACATCAACTTCCCTTGCTGTATTTCTCTTTAAATGTTGTTTGCATAAAAGAGAGGTGCCAATACTGTTTTGGTAAAATTAAGCAATCTACTTTCCATATAATGATAATAATTAATTGATAGTCATTACCAATGTTACTATTTGCATGTAGTTTGTGATGATCAGCATTAATATTGCTTGTTAATATTTTTGATTTTGTTGTGTGAATGGTTATCTTATCTTGTCCCTGTCTAGCTATTAATAAATAAGATAACTGAAAGCAAAAATAGTGTAGGGTATATATTTATTTTAGGATACTGGAAACTTGCAATGTATTGGTGCTTGAAGGAAATGCTGTTTTTCACATGATTTAATACAGGAAACTAATATCAATATCAACTGAATGCGAAAATACACAAATAACTTCTAACTGTTCACTGCATCTCTTCGTGTGCTCATGGGCAGACGGGAAGCCTAGTGGTTAAAGGGTCACGCTGAGACCCGGGCTGGTTTCCTCACAAGTGTGCAATGAGTGAAGCCCATTATATTCCTGGAATATTTCTAAAACCGGCGTAAAACCATACTCACTCAGTCAAACTTCTCCCCGACATTCTGAAATTAGTTTCATGACGGCACAAACAAGAGCACCATACATCCCGTCTCGTTCTGTGTTGCGCGTTGTATTGCCTTATAATATTTATGTATATATAAATTATTTGTATATTGTTCAAAATATGCAAAAATGGCTTCTTAATGAAACTTTTTCATATTAAAAAATGTGACCCTTTGTATTTGTGTGTCATATTTGAATTGGTATTTCCCCGACAGTGACCGATCTTAAACTTGATGAGCAGGCAGGTTTTACTTCTTTTGGACAGACCTGACACAGATTTGTTGGTGATCATACTAAGGCTTCCCTCATTCCTCTATTGCTAATAAGTCAGTGGCTTTAATATGTCAATATTGGCAGGATGACGCTGTTAGGGTGTTTCTGCACATTTTAGAGCTTCAGTAGAAGGTATCCGTCCTCAGCACGACCAAATATGTACAACGACCAAGCCAAACCAATCCTACATTCAAGAAGCAGATGTTATATTCAAAATCTGAACAGAGGACAAGGCGACACTGACCTCTTCTCTCTTGTCAAATGGTTTTACTTCCTACTGAATGGATTACTGAGAGACCATGTGATTGATAGAAGCCAGGTACATGATAGTAGCCAGGGGGTGTTGATAGATAGATGGTACTGATAAGGAGGAATGAAGTGATATAGTTAATGATACTTAAAATCAAATCAAAATAAATGCCTTGGTCAGAGCTGGCTGTTTTTCTAAATTTTTATTTGTATGACATCTTGGAGCTAACGTTGCCACCAGTTGTCCTTGTTACTTATTACGATTTTCGAGGAGTCCTACTTGATAGTGTGGCTGGGATTCTTGATTTAATGTTGAGAGAGAGCTGATTTCATGTCGGATTTTTTCGAAGCCTGGGCCTAGATTTTCGAAGCTCTCTTAGCGCTAAGATAGTCGTAAGTTAATGTTACTGTATGGCACTAACGACTAACTTAACGAGAAGAGAGATTCGAAAATCATCTAGGCCCTGGTGTTCTGATACATTGGTCGACTCATCAGAAACATGTCTGTCCAACACAGGTATTTTTACCAGATATTGGCAACGTTTTCTGCAAAGTGCAAATTTCGAGTATAACCCCCGACCTCTGTAACGACCTTGTGCGCCACACTCTTAGCACAGCAGCTACCGGCATCACTTCCACTACCGATACTATGTGGACCAGAAGATATGTCTTGGCGATTCCCTCTATCACCTACTATAGTTTGGCAAAGTAAATGTTGATATACAAAGATTACACCATGTCTCAACAAAGGACTTCAAGAGTGACTGTTCTAGCAGTTCCAGCATCCACATCTATCATACAACACAGTAAGCACCACTTGACTAGTTCCGGTTTATACTTTGGAGACAGAGATTTGTCTTGTGTATCAACTCATTGCATGACCCTTTCCATGATATAAGTTTACAGGGACCTGAACTGTTAGGGATTTAGACCATACAATGTACAGTTACACACAGAGCAGAGACTGACTATTCATGAGTGCATCAATGCATATTTTGGACAGGTAATATATACAGTTGGAAGGAATGAGTGAACGTTTGCCTACCGCAAGGATGAGACATACACCTAACCTCAATCGGAGAATCTGCAATCTGGTGGACTTCTTTGTTTATTGTTTAACACGGCACCCTAAATTTTCGAGCTATTTTACGACTCTCTGTGAATAACACAGTCTGGACCAGACAATCCAGTGATTGACGTCATGAGCATCGATCTACGCAATTTGAGGATAGAAATGACGTCAACCACGTTTGCGAGCCCGACCACCCAATCCCGTTAGTCGCCTCTCACGACAAGCATGGGTTGCTAAATACCAATTCTTACCCGGATCTTCACGGTCAGTCTGGTACGACCTATCAATCAATACTATTTTACGCCTGGATTTACTCTTTGCTTCCGTTTGACCATCGCTATTACAAATCAGCGCGATCAACTCCTTATGCCCACCTTTGTGATTTTATCACTTTTTAAAAAGGTTTTCTCACATGTACACATATAAACTTTTTACTTCCCAGGTCACATTCACTTAATAAAGGAGGAGTGAGTGAGTTGAGTTTTACGCTGCACTCATCAATATTCCAGCTATATGGCGGCGGTCTGTAAATAATCGGATCTGGACCAGACAATCCAGGGATCAACAGCATAAAAACATCGATCTACGCAATTGGGAAGCGATGACATGTGTCAACCAAGTCAGCGAGCCTGACCACCCGATCCCGTTAGTCGCCTCTTACGACAAGCATGGGTAACTGAAGGTTCATTCTAACCCAGATCTTCACGGGTAGACAAGCATGGGTTACTGAAGGTTCATTCTAACCCCGACCTTCACGGGTAGACAAGCATGGATTACTGAAGGTTCATTCTAACCCGGACCTTCACGGGGAGACAAGCATGGGTTACTGAAGGTTCATTCTAACCCGGACCTTCACGGGGAGACAAGCATGGGTTACTGAAGGTTCATTCTAACCCGGACCTTCACGGGTAGACAAGCATGGGTTACTGAAGGTTCATTCTAACCCGGACCTTCACGGGTAGACAAGCATGGGTTACTGAAGGTTCATTCTAACCCGGACCTTCACGGGTAGACAAGCATGGGTTACTGAAGGTTCATTCTAACCCGGACCTTCACGGGTAGACAAGCATGGGTTACTGAAGGTTCATTCTAACCCGGACCTTCACGGGTAGACAAGCATGGGTTACTGAAGGTTCATTCTAACCCGGACCTTCACGGGTAGACAAGCATGGGTTACTGAAGGTTCATTCTAACCCGGACCTTCACGGGTAGACAAGTATGGGTTACTGAAGGTTCATTCTAACCCGGACCTTCACGGGTAATAAAGGAGGAATAATATACTCCAAAAGCCGGGTTCCGCAGAATACAGCATTTGACTTCCAATGAATTTACCCCCTTCAACTGTAATACTGTTCAAATCCGTCAAACCTCACTCACTCATGTGGTCATCCCCACAAGTAACTTTGCCCTGTGGGCAACAGTGGGACAGCGGCCGATGTACTTGACCCGCCTTATTGTAACATACATGGCACATATAACCAAAGTAAATTAGAAGGTCCAAGATGCTGAATAGTTCTGCCCGTTTAGTAAAACATACCGCCGACCTAATTCACCGTGTGAACTGATAATAACCACACATTAGAGATGAATGTGGAATCATAATAGTGAAATAGATATATTAATATCTTTACAGGCTTCCGGCGATTGCATATAATGATTTGAAATCGAGTACTGCTAAATTAACTGAATTAACCCTTTGTGGGTTTTAGTCACCCCTGCAGCCGTATTAGCAGCATTTTGACTGGCAAAAAGAACCGTTGTATATGCAGGATATATGTTCCTTTTATTTTGCAGACAAAATGCCTTTTGAAGCAAGAACATTTACCAAATATACCAAACAACTGATGTGTTTATCAGTGAAAGGGTATCACTAGGTAAAGTGATTTAGTTCTCATCATATATAATTATATAAACTTTAAATATCACTGTGAGCTTACCATGATAACACTTGACCCATTTAACCATACAGAAGTGCATTTGATAGTCCGACAAGCTGGTGAGAGGAGTGTTTATATTGCGATGTTGAGAGTAACCATAATATTGCTTAGCCTGCTGCTGTGGTTCAGTGTCGTTCAACTCAGTGAAGTTAGTGTCCTCACTGACCAACAGAACAGAGATGTTCGGAACATGGGAGGTGATGCCCCTCACACTGAGGGATCGCACTTATCACAGCCAGAACTGACTGGTCCCGTACAGGTACTATTGGAACAGGCCAAGGCTGACAGTATCAGAGATGCTGCTGTTAAGCAGGATCACTTGGATTTTAAGAAGTCATTGTCAACATCATCGCCACAGGAGACATTCCCGGAAGTACAGGAGAGGTCTCGCTTACTTGTTGTACCATACACACGCAGAAACACACAGGCCAAGCAGATATTCCTCGGCAGCAGCATTCTGGAAGATTACCCACATATAAGTGTGGGGAGAGTTATCGGCGTCGGGTATGTGTCCAGGCTGAGAAAAGTAGTGGTGTCAACTTATATACCCCAGAGAATTGTATCTTACAACATAGACCGGCCAGGATGGCAAACTGTTCGAGAAGGCATTCGTTCTTATGGAATGGCAGTAGATGAGGGGAGACAACTGATCTTCCTCACAACAACTAGTCCTGATAATAGCATCAGCAAGATGACGACACGTGGCCGGCAGTTTGAGTCTGTTGTGCAGCTGTCAAGGTATCACAGTCCTTTCAGTATTGCGCTGGACCCAGTCAACAGAAAACTATATGTAGCTAATTCTTTGTACGTCCTATCTCTTGGCTATGATGGTGGACGGCTAGAGACTTTGTACACGGGACGTTCTATATATGCAGTGGTTCTAAACCCGATGGAGAACACCCTGTATTTCAATGATAACAGGAAGGTGATGAGAATGTCATCTTCGGGCACCGGGGTAAGGGAGGTTTATGATCTCCGTTACAAAGCCTGGAACATGGTGTTCTACAACAATAGTCTGTATATCGGCGGTTACAGCTTTATGGCACGGAAGAAATATATCGACATGGTCTATGTGGGTGACCGTGACGTGGGTGTCACCGACGTCGGCACGGAGTATCACAGGCTGCAGAGATTTGATTCTTCTAACGGATTAAATATCTGCCTACTTCCTTAGCTCATCCCATTCTGCTGTGGAAACGGAAATAATGCAATGACCAGGTATTGACATTTCATGCCAGTGTTGGTAATGATGAAGTACCACTCATGTAGCAAAGTGACCACCAGGCATTTATGTCATGAAGACTTATCTCTGTTTATATTTCGCTCAGCTCATAATATCAGCCAATGCTTCATCTAAGAAAAGACGTAGCACCAAAATATCCATAGGTGTATTTGTCAAGTATGAACTATTAATTGTTTACTACTTGAACGTATGTTTGTGCGTATTTGTAGTAGTATAGTTGCACGGGACACAGACATACATTCTTAATCATCCAGTGTTTTATATGTTCATTCCTTTATGATAAATATCCCCGCTATTTGAAGTAGCATTGAGCATGATCTTTCAGGATTTTACGTCGAAATAGCAGAGGACATTTATATTTTACCATGCCTGCATGTAAGGGGAAAAGGTACTCCCACGCACAGGCCCTCATGTCTTTGCGAAGATTAAAGATAATATTTTTTAGATGACCCCAAACTCGAAATGCTACGAAATCATGGTGTATTGTACTGTGAAGCACTTCGAGTCGGGGTCATCTCAAAAAAATATTTTTAAACATTTTTAATCGTCGCAAAGACACGAGCCGCTGTGCTCACACTTGTATTCCTTGTCAAAGTGAGTTTACAATGAAACGCCTTCTACTCGACAGTGATTCATAAACAGATACACTCAAACACATACAGTGGACCCCGCCTGTGGTAGACGTTTCCTATGATAATGTTTTTGTTGCATTTATCTGATGTGTGGAGACAAAAGCAATACTTACATAAATTCACAACCGTAAGATTACAGCATTCTTGCAAGATGTTGATCGTGGCCACGTTCCTCTCGTTAGTGATTTATGATTGATGTGTCTATGTTTTTTTACAAAAGGCTTCACTGACTTGTCACTGCCGTTTTGGATGTTAAAGTTGGCTATAGAACATCTGATGCAATTTTAAGAAATGCATTCATTCTTATAGAAATAGTTCTTGAATACATCGTGCATGATCTGGAATCTGTACTGTTCGTTTTGTTCAGTGACAAAGACTTGATCGTCAAAGGTGTTGCTACGCAACAACAGATACAGATACTATCTGTCAGTGGGTGCTAGACTACACTGTATCTTGAATACCAAAGTATTTCAAACATACCAAACATATCATACCTACATAACCAAGTTTACGGGTTTGTAGTTTTAAGCATACCAAACATACCATACCTACATAACCAAGTTTACGGGTTTGTATTTCAAACATACCATACCTACATAACCAAGTTTACGGGTTTGTATTTCAAACATACCATACCTACCATACCATACACCAAGTTTACGGGTTTGTAGTTTTAAGCATACCAAACCATACCATACCTACATAACCAAGTTTACGGGTTTGTATTTCAAACATACCATACCTACATAACCAAGTTTACGGGTTTGTATTTCAAACATACCATACCTACATAACCAAGTTTTTTGTAGGTTTGTATTTCAAACATACCATACCTACATAACCAAGTTTACGGGTTTTAAGTATTTCAAAACATACCATACCTACATAACCAAGTTTACGGGTTTGTATTTCAAACATACCATACCTACCTACATAACCAAGTTTACGGGTTTGTATTTCAAACATACCATACCTACATAACCAAGTTTACGGGTTTGTAGTTTTAAACATACCATACATACCATACCTACATAACCAAGTTTACGGGTTTTGTAGTTTTAAGCATACCAAACATACCATACCTACATAACCAAGTTTACGGGTTTGTAGTTTTAACCATACATACCATACCTACATACCATACCAAACATACATAACCAAGTTTACGGGTTTGTATTTCAAACATACCATACCTACATAACCAAGTTTTACGGGTTTGTAGTTTTCAAACATACCATACCATACCTACATAACCAAGTTTACGGGTTTGTATTTCAAACATACCATACCTACCTACAAACCAAGTTTACGGGTTTGTAGGGATTTCAAACATACCATACCTACATAACCAAGTTTACGGGTTTGTATTTCAAACATACCATACCCATACATAACCAAGTTTACGGGTTTGTAGTTTCAAACATACCATACCTGCATAACCAAGTTTAACCAAGTTTACGGTTTTACTGTATTTTTCAAACCATACCATACCATACCTACATAACCAAGTTTACGGGTTTGTATTTTAAGCAACCACATACCATACCTACATAACCAAGTTTACGGGTTTGTAGTTTTAAGCATAAAACATACCATAACCTACATAAACCAAGTTTACGGGTTTGTAGTTTTAAACATACCATACATACCATACCTACATAACCAAGTTTACGGGTTTGTAGTTTCAAACATACCAAACATACATACCATACCTACATAAACTAAGTTTACTGGTTTGTGCCTTTTTACCTACATACCTACATAACCAAGTTTACGGGTTTGTAGTTTTAAACATACCATACATACCATACCTACATAACCAAGTTTACGGGGTTTGTAGTTTTAAACATACCAAACATACCATACCTACATAACCAAGTTTCTGCGGGTTTGTAGTTTTAAACATACCATACACATACCATACCTACATAACCAAGTTTACGGGTTTGTAGTTTTAAGCATACCATACATACCATACCTACATAACCAAGTTTTTTTGGTTTGTAGTTTTAAACATACCATACATACCATACCTACATAACCAAGTTTACGGGTTTGTATTTCAAACATACCATACCTACATAACCAAGTTTACGGGTTTGTAGTTTTAAGCATACCATACATACCATACCTACATAACCAAGTTTACGGGTTTGTATTTCAAACATACCAAACATACCATACCTACATAACCAAGTTTACGGGTTTGTATTTTAAACAACCACATACCATACCTACATAACCAAGTTTACGGGTTTGTATTTCAAACATACCATACCTACATAACCAAGTTTACGGGTTTGTATTTTCAAACATACATACCATACATACCATACCTACATACCAAGTTTACGGGTTTGTAGTTTTAAGCATACTCAAACATACCATACCTACATAACCAAGTTTACGGGTTTGTATTTCAAACATACCATACCTACCATAACCCAAGTTTACGGGTTTGTAGTTTTAAACATACCATACATACCATACCTACATAACCAAGTTTACGGGTTTGTAGTTTTAAGCATACCATATACCATACCTACATAACCAAGTTTACGGGTTTGTAGTTTTAAGCATACCATACATACCATACCTACATAACCAAGTTTACGGGTTTGTAGTTTTAAAACATACCAAACATACCATACCTACATAACCAAGTTTACGGGTTTGTAGTTTTAAGCATACCATACATACCATACCTAATAACCAAGTTTACGGGTTTGTAGTTTTAAATACATACATGCATACATACCATACATACCTACACATAACAAGTTTACGGGTTTGTAGTTTTAAACATACCATACATACCATACCTACATAACCAAGTTTACGGGTTTGTAGTTTTAAACATACCATACCTATACCATTTTACATACCATACATACCATACCTAGTTTACCAAGTTTGTAGTTTTAAGCATACCAAACATACCATACCTACATAACCAAGTTTTTTGGTTTGTACGGGTTTGTAGTTTTAAACATACCATACATACCATACCTACATAACCAAGTTTACGGGTTTGTAGTTTTATTTCAAACATACCATACCTACATAACCAAGTTTACGGGTTTGTAGTTTTAAATACCATACCACCATACCTACATAACCAAGTTTACGGGTTTGTAGTTTTAAAGCAAACATACCATACCTACATAACCAAGTTTACGGGTTTGTATTTCAAGCTTACGGGTTTGTACCATACATACCATACCTACATAACCAAGTTTACGGGTTTGTATTTTTAAACATACCATACATACATACATAACCAAGTTTACGGGTTTGTAGTTTTAAACATACCATACCATACCTACATAACCAAGTTTACGGGTTTGTAGTTTTAAGCAAACATACCATACCTACATAACCAAGTTTACGGGTTTGTATTTCAAACATACCATACCTACATAACCAAGTTTACGGGTTTGTATTTCAAACATACCATACCTACATAACCAAGTTTACGGGTTTGTATTTCAATTTAAAAGTAGAGTAAGCCGCAATAAAACATGCAATAATCCATTTGCAGGAAAATGACACCATGGAAGCGTCATATTTGGATTACATACAGACATTCCATAAGTTCCGTCCAGGTGGACTTTCTGCATGTAAGAATTGTTCCAGGTAAAACACTCTAATACATTTTTAATAAGTTTATCTCGGCAAAATATACACACGGGATTGTTTCGTCGACAACTTTCTGACAAAATCAGCCAAGATGATCGCGGTGCTGATTTTGTTTCTCAATCTCTCTTGGCATTATATATGTACAGAATGGTCTGCAGTTGATTCAAAACTTTCCAGACTTCTTCATATCACCTTTGGTCTCTCTTCCACAGTGCACATGCCCTGTATCAGGGTCTCTATATCATTTAAACCTGATCGTCTCATCTCGAGTCTTCTGACTGTACACTTCAGTTCCGACTGTGAAGCCAGGTTGGTGATCTTGGGTATGAGGATACCACTTGTTGTTAGTACTTCTGCAGGTGAACACACATCCAACACTGACGCACTCTTTGTTAAAGCGGACTGTGATGTTTGAATCCTTGACATGAGTACAGCTTTCATCGCTGCAACCATCTGAAGCTCCTCATTGAAGTCACATTGCAGGTGCCGCAGCAGGAGTCTCTTCCGCCGTTCCAGAGCTAGATGTACCATGTTCACATTGTCCTCAATTTCATCTAATGTGATGTTACTTTCAATGCATAAAGTATTAACCTGTTTGCTTAAATGCCCTCTAAAACTATTAATTTCATGGAGAGTGTTTCGGATTTTCTTACATTCATCATTAAGATCCCTTACGGATGTATCAAAGTGAGGGATGATGGAAGTGACATATGTTTCAGAATGGGTCTCCATAGAACATGACCAGCAAATTGCTACATGGCACCTCTCACAATAGAGGGTTTGCTTTATCAAGTGGACTTCGCATGACATGCTCTCATTGAAGATGGACTCTGGCATTTTCAAGAGATCCTTCAAAGCAACAACTACGTGTTGTTCTAAGAAGTATTTGGAAAAACGTTCATGGTAAAGTTTACACGTGTCACACATGTACATGCGGCAGCCAAGACATCTGGAAGTAGCACTGCTCCGATCTGGACATTCGTTACAGTTTATCTTTCCTTGGTAATCTTTGAGTTCTAAAACCCCGATGGTCTTGAGAGAGACGGGGTCGACAGGAAAGGATAGGACCCCTTGGATGTCTGTTGTGTCACCGCACACGGGACACGTCAGCTTGTGGTTAGACTTGGTCATATCTGCTAAACATGAGCTGCATGTTGTGTGGAGACATGGCAGAAGACGCGGGTAGTTGATAGGGGGATTATATGTTGTCTCACATCCACGACATGTTGTTTTATAGCTACTCATTGGCCCAATGGCTGGGCACCTAGTTAGTGCCATACCTCAACCTGTAACAAATAATCAGATTTAACGAATGCAGAAGCAGTCGATTATGTATAATCAATTTATATATTCACACACCATGTGATCCGTTTAGTCCAGATTATACACTTCACGAATACATATATTTCTTTGGAATTATTCAAGACATTTAGAGTAAAATGATGTAATGTTCACTATTCTGAACGTTAAAGTGTGTTTTAAGGCCCGTTCAGACAGCAATGTAGTCCAGACCCACAGAGCGGCACTGAACATTTAGGAAACTTATCATGAAATGCATCAGAGTGCATAAACAAAGGGTACCCATTATCAAATAAAACAAAAATGTCAAATGGCATTTATCCGATATATACCTGCCTATTCAGGTACTAGCATAACAAACACAAGCTACATATAAAAACAAATTTTCATTTTGATCCTTGGAAGGTCAGTATAGGATCAGTGATGTGTGATATGTTCTGTCAGCAGCCGGCGGGGTGTTGGACTCTGACTTTCAACTCTACTTCTTGTACCTTTCGGAATTACTCTATGTTTTACGTAACATATGCTGCATTTAAGAAATTGTTGTATTTTTAACAGAATGTGCACACATATGCGTCACAACTGTGAGATCGTAATATACAAACCTGGTGTTTGGATAAGCTTCCTTGTTTGATTGACAGTTCCTTGAGGTAGAAGGATTGATTTCACAATTTGTAAACTCGAACAGATTGACACAATGTTTACAAACAAAGCAGTTGCACTGTGTTCAACGTTCCTGGATATAATATCGTCACATGCTGAATAATCCTCGGTCGATCGGTTGTTCCAGTTGTCATAATACAGTTCACGGCTATGATCACCTAATGTAAACGACAACGTCCATCACGGGTCGGAAATTGATTGTCAACAGTATAATCAGTTTTATCAGCAGTATAGGCGCATAGCCAGCTGATAAAACAAATAGTTACACAGTGACTTTGTGATAGTAGTGGTATGTGATCGTTGGCGTAATGTGGTTTGTCATAATCAGGAAGTGTTGATGTAATCTTTCTGTATCTTCAGTTTTTGCTGAGGACCAGCTTTCAAACCCATTTCCTAACACATAAATCTATCTGTCCCGTTTCCTAACACATAAATCTATCTGTCCCGTTTCGTTGGATACATGATTGAATCGAGTCGAAGTGAACTTTCTCACCAATACATTAATGTGGGTGAGCTAAGCACAGCAGAACCGCAGCATGTCTTATGCAATAGACAAAGCATCAAGGATGAAACAGTTACTGGAAAGATGAATTATGAACGGATTCTAATGGTTATATGACAGTAACACAATGACCGGATACTCAGTAATTAAAAATGGCGTATGCACTCAGGTGGTGAATCAGATTTGTCATCCTAATGTTGTGTCATTGTTGTCCGCATCACTTACACACAACCAATATTTGGGCGATTCTATAATATTATGATGTTTCGTGCATGATTAGGAAAATATTCTATGATCCCATAAAGGTATCTAAGGTGTTTGAAAAAATATTTGATATGCTGCACACATTTTATACAGTTATATGGTCGATAAATCTTAACGTTGGTTTCTAGTCCCATTCGAGTAAGTAAGCGTTAAGCCGGGTTTCCATGTGCGCGCGACCGCCTCCGTGGTTTAGAGGTTAGAGCGTCCGCCCGGAGAGCGGAAGGTCGCGGGTTCGATCCCCGACCGCGTCATACCAAAAGACGTTAAATTATGGTACTTGTTGGTCCCTGCCTGGCGCTCGGCATTAATGGGTACAACAAGGACTGGTCGGCTCGGAGTCAGTATACTCTGTCTGCGTGGGGTATTCATGCTTCACTGCGGCATCGTATCTCAGTGAGCTAGCACTATAAAACCAACTTATGTCTGGGCTAGTACAAGCAGCCGCACATACACATACACACGCATGCACGTCGTCATATGAGCGAAATATTCTCAAGCACGAAGTTAAACCCAATTTCACCTCACCTCACCTCCATGTGCGCGCAGTGCGTGATGCGTAATGCGTAGTGCGTAGTGCGTAATGCGTATACAACACTTAGTAGGGATTCCCAAGGTTTTTTTTCCAATGTCACGTGTTTTTCATTGTGCACACAAGTTGCAAACTGCCAAGTAATTCGGTACCCAGGATACTGAACAATTAATTGAACCCTCCTTCTTTGTATCAGGAGTTCAGGCATCCACCACCGGGGTCTTCGTTTTTTCAAATAACAGTACAATAAACCTGCACTCATCACATCCTCTGTTATGTCTGCTAGTTCTCTAGCGTTCTTTGAGAAACAAGCTGGCATTGTAGACAGCAATTCTGATCAGAACGAACTCCAGGAAAGGAAGGACTTGATTTAACACATCACATAGCCTTTATACACGTACACATGGAATTGGACACTACGCACACGTAATACGCACTAAGCACTACGCACCACGCAATTACGCAGACAATACGTACACATGGAAACCTAGCTTTAGTCTAGGATAACTTTCCAGCTAGGAATTTAACTGAAATTGTGCCACACTAACTTGTGCAAATCTAACTGACGTTGCAAAACGTAGGATCCTCACTCTCGCCACATTGTTTATAACGACAACGTGCAAAAAATGCTTATGGAATTAACATGTAATTAAAACTGAAAGTCTGCCCCCAATGTATTATGCTCGGACTAATATCAGGTTCAAGCTGTCTGATTGTTTGCAAGACGAAGAACAACACCAGGGGTTCTATGTGTTCAAAACAGATTACTTTGATCATACACACGCACACGCACACGCGCACACATAGTTGTGACTGTTTGTATTTGTTTACCGCCGCACTCATCAATATTCAAGCTTTATGTAAATAATCGGCTGTAAACAAGCGAGTGATTGATGTTATGAGCGTCGCTCTGCACAATCGGTTTCCGAGGACACGCATCAACTAAGTCGGACCACCCGATCCAGTTCGTCGACGACAAGTTGCTGGAGACCAGTTCTAACCCGGATCTGCACAGGTTATTTATATCTAGTACTAGGGTTATTATACCACAATGCGTTACGTGAACTATGAACTGGATGGCCAACATTTTTAACGCACATTAATTGATTGACTGTCAGATGAACTATCAGCATGAATGGCACAATAGATGTGAAAATGAAGCACACGTAAAATATTACGATTCCACTCAGTTACAGACCCGTGCCAGGTATTTCCATTAATTTAGTGTAGCATAAATAATTTTCATGAATTTAATTTTCGTAAGATCCAAGTCAAGATTTGCACATTGGTGAGGAATCATCTTATCTACAATCACATAATTTCTGTTTTATTTTTCCGTTGCTTATTTATCGAATGGCAACAATCTAATCAACATATGTACAGTGCCGTGAACTCCTGCGGCCAATGCGATTGTGCATTGTGGAACCATACGTAAGTTGATAAATGTGAAGTCATTAGTTAAATAGTGGTCGGAAAATTGAACTGAAATTATGAGCACAGAGCAGAGATGATTTCAAATTTGCCCGTCAAATTTTACAAAGATCCATCCTAAACTCACTTCATGAAAATTATTTATGCTACACTGAAATATCATGTAAATCTATGGAAATTACGTCATGTGTCCGAATATAACTGGCACGAGTCTGTACGTCTGGGAGGTTGTTAAGTTACGGCAGGTGCTAGGAAATAATACCAGCCTGAGGTGTTTGTCATTAATACCATATGAAATGTCTTTAGAGAATTTCGGACCTATATTTATGTTTCCACGCTTTCCCTGGAGGGTTTACAACACGAGTGTTGAACACGATACCATATATTTCACAGAGATATACATTTCCAAAGTTTAATAATAATAATAATATCTACGAGCGAACATGTATTCCGCATTATTTATCCGAGGAATTACTGTTGGGAAATCAGAGTGAGTGAGTGAGTTAAGATTTAAAGTCACATCGGCACAATTTCAGCCACATCGTGACTAAAACAGGTAATAATTTAAGAATAAGGAACAATTAATTATTTACGCGCGCGTGTGTGTGTGTGTGTGTGTGTGTGTGTGTGATGATTTGAAGGGGGGTCACCCAGGTTGTTCTGGGGAGCTTGGGGGTCATCAGTTTTGTACAAATGTCCGGGGAGAAATTTTGTACATAGAATTATGTTTAAAATTATGCTTAAAAGTTATGGGAAGGGGAGGGGGGTCATTGATTTTGTACATGACATGCAGGGGGGTCACTTACTTTGTACATAAATATTAGGGGGTGTCATTCACATCGTACATGCTTTTCCATAAAAATCATCATCACCCCCACCCCACTCCAGTCATAAATTATGAACGGTCCCTAAACAAAGGTTAATTTTTTTAAAAACCTGTGAGGGAGGGACAGTAAAACCAACTAGAACATCACGGATATGAATATAAAAGTAGTATGTAACTTTAAACAGCTTGATTACAGAAGACAATATTATATAAAAACAGGCTATATATTGCCAACAACTGATGGCAGATCACCATACAAGGGACCATGGGGACTTATTGGGAGATCAGAGCCTTGGTCTATTATGAACGACAGATAACCGTCAGCGTTAGGAATTGATCACTGATTGTTCACCCGTAATCCTTTTTTCGGTTATGTATTATGTATAAAATGATGCGTTTCCTGATCTTTCTGGGAAAATCAGATTAGTTGCTCTATCGTTGAATCACATCTCATAGAATCATCATGACGCCATGAAGAGTGGACGCCATTAAAAGAAAGATCTGTAGCAATGAGTTTATATGACTTCGGGTTGCCATGGTCCTCTTTACAAGCAATGAAAACAATGACACAACTATCAGATTGATCTGTGAAATTACTCAATACAATGTCCCCTTAATTTTATTTTTATTTTATTAATATTTATATATACTTGTATAGCGCCAATATCCAGCTCAGTTCAGCTGCACAACGGCGCTCTGTTTTTCCCTCGATCATTGGATGTCAATCTCAATCGGCACATTTTATTATAAATCTCAACTCCCTGGGGACCATACACCTCTTGCAGCCACTGGGCGCACCGAGTTAATGTGGCTTACCAATCCTTACGAGGTACCCATTCACAGATTATGAGAGACTATTTATAAATGTAAAATATACGGAATGTAAACAAAATTTACAAATATTCAATTATGATAACGGTGAACGCGGCGTTCCTTTAAAGTATCAAGGCAGGTCGTGGCTGCTAATTTACATAAAGTAGGACTAGACATTAAAACGATAGCTTTTCCATATCTGTAAAATTATAAAATTCCCATTTAAAACTGTGCACTTATCCAACATTTTGTAAAAGACTGATGTAAAGGACAGTATAAAAGCACATGCATTCATCTTCAACAACATTCAAACAGTTAAAACACACTCTCTCATTTAAAGGCATATTACTGTAGTGACCAGTGTCTATTAATAAGTGGTTGTGGCTGTGTTGATATTATTTCATATTACTACAATCAGTTGGAAATGTCCTTCGTCCGCGTTGGTGTCACCAGGCTGTGTATGGATCAACAGAAGACCAGTCACTGGTTACGTGTTGTGAGGTTTATTCTTTATTGACAGACGCCCCTGTGCGTGACACTGGGGTGTAGAAGACGCCACGTTTCCTCGAAGAATATACTGCTGCTATAGATGTTTGGTGTGTTCTGTGATGTGATCTAGTTGTATTGAAGTGCAATGGCTGACGTGCAAGTAGTGTTTTAAGAACCAATCAACACAAAGGGGCCGAACAAGTCTAGGGACACAACACCAGCGATGATACAATCGCTTGACACCCCTTATACCCGTATTAGACTAGGCAAGATATATCTAAAATAACTATAGACCAACGATTAAAAATGATACTACTTGAGTTAAAATTATAGACAATCAGAACTACAAATACACCAAATCTTAAATGAATTTATACCTGCCACATAGGCACAGTGCTCATATCCTTTCTAAATATCAGGGGAACCGCGAAGGTCAAATTGAGAGAGACCAGGGTTTAAAGTAAAGTTTCAACTGCAATAGTATCAGCTGTAAATTCAACTAGTTTATTAGCTTTAGTTTGAACCTTTGTACCTCACTTCTTTGAGACCTGAAAGCAGTGTGCGAAATAGTTTCCAAATTTTGATATCCAGTCGGGCTAGCTATGCCTGAAAGTTACTAGCCCACAAAATAATTCACTAACCTGAAAGTTGAATGTCGACGCAGGTTTCATCGTCAAGCTGCTAATATGATGAACATTTTAATCAGGCCATAATCTTGCATGATTTCAAAGTGTATTATACCTTAAACAAGTTGGTGAGAGTGATATATTTACACAATGACCCTACGAAAATTCACTAGTCTGTGAACAGTGACTGTGGAGATTTACTGGCCCGACTGGATTTTTACTAGCCACAGGCTAGCGGGCCAGTGTCTATATCGCACACTGCATTAAAGTGATGTGAAGGAGCTGCCGACTGGATGTAAAACACTCCAAAGGTGAGTGCAGGAAATACACGTGTCCATACTCGTCTATAGATCATACTTAGACATAAACAGATTTTAATGTATTATCTTTTTCTCTAATTTAAATGATCTAATAACAAATTTCTGGTTTTATAAAGTTGTTGAGTGGTCAGACAGACATGTTCTGTTCAAAATGACCATAGTCAACTCGGTCTCATTTTCAGTAATACCCCTGCCGCAGGTCATAGTCGTTTACTACTTTAGTGAATCCCCAAACTGACAAATCTGGAAACATAATCAGGACACACTTGAAATTTGAACCCACGATAATACATTTCATAGTTCCCAAGGGAGGCATCTATACACACCTTCCTGTGCATTGGGTTTGTTCTCATTTCGCCTACTTCACAATTCGCATACATCCCAACTCTCCTTCACTAAGTACTGTACGTGAATAATCATGAAATGACACTCCGTACATTGTAACTGTGTATGCTTTCCAAGTGTTTTTGTTGTTGTTATCATGAGACACTCAGACTAGCACCTTTATGTCACGGATTCCTGGCAACAGCGTTTCATTTCATCGACTTACTCCTGCCCCGGACGGTACTATATCTACCATATACTTCTGGGTGCCCATGCACGAAGTGATCTTACCACAAGGGTGACCCTAACCCCGACCACTTTACTCATACTTACGACAGTAGCGCTAAGGGTGCTCAGTACGCCCGGAACTGTAACCATGGCTATAATACTGCCATCCACTGAAACAGATCCATTTGACATTCTATAAACTGAATATATTAAATGTATACCTTACAGTCTGTTTGGGTCAAAATGATACCGATGAATCACAATCTAACTCCAAATTGGTAGATGATCAAACATTCATTTCAACGCAGAATGTAATGAAAACATCACACCAACTCTGGAAAAAATCTTTCATCACGATTGTCTCGAAAATAAAAGGTTACTTCTCTTCTTGTTTTGAGTTTCTGTGTGAAGTTTTACAAGGGGTAAAGTAACAGTAGTACTGTTGCAGGTACAACCTCAAGGGCTGTGTGTATATGTGTCAACATGCATGTGTGTATGTGGATGTGTTTTTCACACACACACACACACACACACACGCATACACACGCATGCATGCATACATACATACATACATACATACATACATACATACATATACATACATACACACACACACACACACACACATACATACATACATACATACATACATACATACATACATACATACATACATACATACATACATACGCACGCACGCACACACACACACATACCTACGCACGCACGCACGCACACACACACACACACACACACATACATACATACATACATACATATATATGCATATATGCATGTGTGTTTGTGGCTGATATTTCAACCAACATTTAAGCAAACTAAAACTGCGAGTGCATAGTGATGTCAGCTGAGAAAAGCACTTACTTCTACAGTTACGTGATGACCGCTTGCACACAGCGAGTTTAGCTGTCCGACCATTGTCAACAAAAACATGGATACCTTTACATGGAAATCAAATATTTAGATATGTCTTGACAGCGTGACAGCTTGATAAAAAAGAAAGACCGACGTGATGCTGATGTACCGTCAGTCACGTGGTACTGTCTGTCCAAGAATGACATCCTTGAAATCCTGGGATTCGAACCCACGCTCGAAGAATTTTGACCAGCTACGTCTCAACATATTATATAGACTGCTCTTATGTCTGGTATACATGACTGTCTCGAGAAGTCTTTACATAACTGTATCACTGAAACACCGTCAATTCGGACTGCTATCCAATGTCAAATAATTTGTATTAACAAGATTCGGGATTTTTCATTTATCCCATAAATCGTAATGCCGTATACATTATATGTTAGCTTTAATTCGTAATCAGATATTAAAATGAAAATCTATGTGATATCGTTTTTCAATTGCAACAAAAACGTTAATCGAACATATGAAGTTGTGATGCGCTGAAATTCAAACCCCCTTCATATTGTCACTTCGCGAAAATCATTTATTTTGATCCGTCAACACCGTAGTCTGTCAAAATACTCTGAAGCAAATATATCCAAGAAGCCCACGCAAGTCTTGAAAATGTGGTAAGTCTACATTTCCACAACTTCTGGGCTCCTTTTTATTGTAGTTATGATTTTAATTTAAAAACTTTTATTTTCTGTAAAATATGTTCATTTCAGAGATTAGCTGTTAGTCTATCAACCCCGGCGCTCTGTGAGTTGTAGCCGTCCAATATAAACTCAGTGCGTTATAAATCAAAACTGTGCGGTGAACAGGACAAATAAATAGACCACACATTCACCCCCGAACTTGCACCCTTGAACCCAGTAGACATGTACATAGCGGCGGGCTGGAGCTACACCACTGCCTGAGCTTACAATGGCAGAACACATCTATCTTGACACAGTATTTCTACTGACCGAGTGAGTCAGTAAATTTGAAACAGTGCGACAGTTAGCAGCGGGGACATCGGGAGTAGGATTCATACAGGGGAGTGTTTTCCTCCCCTCACTTTCCAGCTGACCTACTTGGCGCCGTTTATCCAGGACGAGTGAGGTAAGAAATAGCATTGTTGTTAAACTGTTCGTCACCGTACTCGCGGGGATCGTTTGAATTACCAGACATTGGGGTTAAATATGCCCAAGGACAGCGTTTAACGACAGGTAAGATTTCAAGTGTATTTGTATAACCACAGGATTTAACAAGACCACATCTGAGCAGTGTAACTAACGTGGTAATCATTACGTATTTTAAATGTCTCGATTACTTGGGAGGCCGGATGATCATGATGTTTACTTTAGTGTCAACTGAAGGCCGTGAAAGCACAACCGCTGTGACACATAACTGCGGTATTCTGCCTGTGTCACCATGGTCCTGTAAGACCAGGACCCCCTTATAATCCAGAAATAGCTGACACACAAGTGAGTGAGGCTAGGTATTAAACTGATAACGACACTGAAGTTAGAGTGACATGACAGACGGTATACAATCTGTGGCGGTAGCTACACCGACAACGGTATAACAATAGTTGCAGGAGCACACCTGTCTATCAGTTTGCATATACATGTATAGTTAATTATGTAACATGTGTTCGCTTCATGTGTTCAACTATCTCTCCGTTCACCCTTGTAATAATTCTCCTGAATCAGTATTACGTACCGTTAATAAATCTACTGCGTTTAGTGTGTCGCTGTTTGTGTGTGTGTGTGTGTGCGTACGTGCGTGCGTGAGTGTGTATGCATGTGTATACATGCATGTGTGCAGATGCATCGATGGTTCTTTTTATACATCTGTAGGCATTGTCGACGTCTCTGCGATACGATTGTGTATAACTATATATAATGGCGGCGTCACATCATTACCTCGAGGTAAGACTTAATCATACACCTGCTGTGATCAAAACATCCGGTCTCTATACACGACTGTAACGATTCAATACACAATGAGTGAGCGGATTTAAACATATGTAGCTACCGAAAGGCCATGGTGCATTTAAAAAGACACAAATTTACATTCTCATTTCAAATTGAATAAGATATGTTTCGACAATCGAGACAAAATTAGAGTCGTTTCGCTGTCTGGTTTACCGCAGCGTAGTCAGCTTAATAGAATTGAGTTCGAGGTGACGTATAGACTAACGCATGAATATATAAAATTTTGATAGAAACAAATATTTTCATTTAAATTGAAAACCTGGGGAAATCCAGACTTGCTTCATTGAGGGGTTTAGCATTGATGGATGGGATGGGCAGAAGGGAGAATATTCCGGTGAGTGAGTGAGTGAGTGAGTGAGTTGGGTTTTACGCCACTTTTAACAATATTTCAGCAATATCACGGCGGGGGACACCAGAAATGGGCTTCACACATTGTACCCATGTGGGGAACCGAACACGGTCTTCGGCGTGACGAGCGAACGCCTTACCCACAAGGCAACCCCACCGTTCCCCAGTTCAGTGACTGTGAGACAGACTAGGTGACAGAGGACGAAAAGAGTTACCGCGTGTGCTGTAGTTGGTAACAGAACCATGAGCTAAGATATAGTACTGACGAAAGGGGTATCATAATTCAGGGTATTCAGACGCTAAGGGACGCAGATATGCACGTCAAAATTGCGACACCCTATGCCAGGATATCACCACATGTGTTCATGTTTAAATCTGAGATTTGTTATTTACTCGTATGCACATGTGACAGAATACTTATTTATGTAAATGTTCAATATGTAAGTTGGAGATATTATAAAAATGCGTTTTTCCTTTGTAGATTGAATCACAAAACAATGGATCGTAACCCGTGTGTGATGTGTGAACTGGCGTCAACGGTTGACATCATGCCAGTAGGGAAGTCCCTGAACAAGTTCGGTTTATTGTCTAAGGACATATACCATGACTTGCAGAAGTCGTCAATGAACGAGGGAATCAAGTGGAGAGGACTCTTACATTCTCTCAACTTCCAAGAAAACAAATTAGCCAGAATAACACTTGTTGAACTTGTTCGAATCGACAATCCAGACATTGCGGATGAGCTGGAAAAACCGGATTTCCGACGTCAGATTGGATGTGTTTGTGGGCAGAGAACTAGTGGTCCTCGCTTGAAGAGATCAAACAGCCTCCCACATATTGGTGACACGTCAGGCAACCAAGGGTTGCAAGCGTTCTCCTTCGAAGGGTTCAATTTTGGGGCGTTTAATAACAGCTTTCCTCAGTCTGCTGAAAACCAGGATGACAAAACGTACAAGTATATGTCACTTCAAGTGTCGAAATCCCCTGACGTCACACCGAGTCCTCGTCGAAGGTCAAGGTCACTTGAGATTCTCAGACCGTTCATTCCACTGGAACGAGAAACTTTTATGCCGATGGACAGTTCCGAATCAGACCTAGATGATGAAATAGATTTTCTGTTTGCTGGTATAACCGACACATCCCTTGGTTCTGAGGGCGTGGCTGATTTCTCAAATGAAGACATTACAAAGACAATGTTAAATGAGAATCACTCGGACAATTCCAAAGGAAATCCAGAGGACGATTTAAGAACGCCGAAAGACGATTCTACGCTTAAACGAAACATGCAATTTGACGAGAATTTCTTTCCTTCTTCCTCTGGGATGGGTAGCACATCTTCTGTGGATACAGTAGAACATGTGTCTTTGAGTGAACAAAGGAACTCCGTGTTTCTGGATGATGACTGGCAGACTCAGGATAGCTATGCAACTGGTTCTGATGGTGCTACGACTTCAGAAGATAGGAAATCCATTAATACAGCAACCAGTACCAAGCAGAAACTATTTGAAAGTTTACACGCCGGCGACCGAGATGGTATGTCTGTTTGGTATCTGTCTTTAGTACACTATTGTAGAATTCCAAACTGAATAAGTTACATCATCATCTGTGTGTAATAGATGTTATTCTACACCGATACCGAACTCCCAGCAATACCCAAGCTGTGTCAGGCATGTTGATGATGGAATCTGGCCATGTAAACCAGTTGAGGGCAGTACCAGATTGTGACAGATATATGAACGTATCCTTGTTCTAAATAGCAGATGTTTTCCACGTGAGATTTACATGTTACAGTTGGAATCGTACAATGGTGCTGTCATAGAATTATGGACATGTTCAAGCCTTGTTGGTAGTCCTCTCTTAAGCAGTCTTTGTATTTAACGGTTCTTTAATATCATCATTACATTGGATGAATGGAAAATATGGTAACATGTTTGGTACAATTTTAGGATCTTGCAGTTAGCAACCTTGGGCGTTTAAGGCGACGTGAGACTGGTATTTTCACACATATGCGTATACAAATCCGGTCACGAGGTTGACACAACTGGTGTTACATAATTAGATTCTATACACAAACTTTCGATGTAGGATTGTATCCCAGGATTCTCACGTTTACCGCTGATGATATGCTATGTTACAGAAGCTGAACTGCTGGTCTCCACAACTCAGAAAACTCTACATTCCCAGGTCAGTTAACTTCTGTGTTTAAACAGAACTGTGCTAGCGATGTTTATACCTGAGAACCAGTATCACATTGATGACATGCAGAATAAAATTCTTTGATTCCCGGGAGTATTGGAGCAGTAATGAAAGCCACACCTCCGGTTTCCTTTCCCCTTCAAACTACTGCATTACTGTCAAACGACGGTAAAAGATGTACAACATAAATGTTTAGAACTTCCTTGGAGTGTGCGATTATAAATGCAAGTTTGTTATTAATAAGTCTTGTAGAAACTAATGAGAGTAATTTTAGTCCAATGTGGCTACTGACAATAATGGTAAAGTATAGATATACTTTGCCTTTCGCCATTAGTGAATAGGGTCATGTTTATTTGACAACAGACTGTGGTCACAGTCTGATCGTCTCCTTACAGATGAACCATATGCGCATGAGATAAGACAGGGGTCAAGAGTCTTCTAATTAAACGAATCTAATGTACGAGTCACAAAGTTATGCAGTCTCGCTGAATACATAACGATGTTTGAAGTATTTATCTGAGTCTTTGATTCCAGAGTCCATTTCATAACTATGCTTGAATCATTTATCTTAACCAGTATCTCCAGAGTCAGTGACTACATCTTAATGTTTCGTGTACCATGTTTCCATTCTAAGTGATTGCTTAATTATGCTGGAAATGGATTACACAATCATGCTTCAGCATAATGTAATCAGTAACCCCAGAGTCACTTATTACCATTACTCTTTATGTAACAACCAGATAGGTTAACAAATATCGTGTATATCGTCTAATTATTTGAATAATGTTTGCAAGCATGTGATAAACTGGATAATGTTTGTTATGTACTCATGAACTCGTATAGTTTGTTATGTTCTCGTATAGTTTGTTATGTTGTCGTATAGTTTGTTATGTTCTCGTATAGTTTGTTATGTTCTCGTATAGTTATGTACTCATGTACTCGTATAGTTTGTTATGTTCTCGTATAGTTTGTTATGTTCTCGTATAGTTATGTACTCATGTACTCGTATAGTTTGTTATGTTCTAGTATAGTGTGTTGTGTTCTCGTATAGTTTGTTATGTTCTCGTATAGTTTGTTATGTTCTCGTATAGTTTGTTTTGCTCTCGTATAGTTTGTTATGTTGTCGTATAGTTATGTACTCATGTACTCGTATAGTTTGTTATGTTCTAGTATAGTTTGTTGTGTTCTCGTATAGTTTGTTATGTACTCGTATAGTTTGTTATGTTCTAGTATAGTTTGTTGTGTTCTCGTATAGTTTGTTATGTTCTCGTATAGTTTGTTATGTTCTCGTATAGTTTGTTATGTTCTCGTATAGTTTGTTATGTTCTCGTATAGTTTGTTATGTTCTCTTATAGTTATGTACTCATGTACTCGTATAGTTTGTTATGTTCTAGTATAGTTTGTTGTGTTCTCGTATAGTTTGTTATGTTCTCGTATAGTTTGTTATGTTCTCGTATAGTTTGTTATGTTCTCGTATAGTTTGTTTTGCTCTCGTATAGTTTGTTATGTTGTCGTATAGTTATATACTCATGTACTCGTATAGTTTGTTATGTTCTAGTATAGTTTGTTGTGTTCTCGTATAGTTTGTTATGTTCTCGCATAGTTTGTTATGTTCTCGTATAGTTTGTTTTGCTCTCGTATAGTTTGTTATGTTGTCGTATAGTTATGTACTCATGTACTCGTATAGTTTGTTATGTTCTAGTATAGTTTGTTGTGTTCTCGTATAGTTTGTTATGTTCTCGTATAGTTTGTTATGTTCTCGTATAGTTTGTTATGCTATCGTATAGTTTGTTATGTTCTCGTATAGTTTGTTATGTTCTCGTATAGTTTGTTTATACTCGTTTATACTTGTTTATACTCATCTTGTTTCAGAGACGCCAGGTTTCCCCTGCAAGCAGGTCGTGGACATTGCAAGTGACAATAGCCCTGTTCCTCCTGCCCATCGGACTCTTGCTGCTGCCGCGGGATCTTCTGTTCAGTATTGTAGCACTGGTAGCTTTACAAGTATACACCGACAACAGCAGGTAGACTATGTACCTTCATGGAAAAGATGCTTATTGAAACGCGAGTTCCGTAGGGGTGGCTGAAACATTCTGAGCCAAGCTGTGAAGGGGCATAGTTGACACTATTCAGTTGCAGGCTGTAAGTAGAAATTGTTTTTGCGATGCATGTGAATCAAATGTACTGTCAGGCAACACCTTTCTAAAGGCATCACAGTGAGTATGTACTCTCTGTGGATGAGGCGGGGTGGTGTTTCCCGCTGCATTCAAGAGTGGTGTACGTATGTAGCAACCTGCATTCACATGTGTGTGGCCAGTTTTGCCAGTCTGACAATTGCCGGTTTTACAATGCCAGCCCACGCCACAGTTCAAAATGGAAAACCACCTTAGATATCAGAGTCGACCTTTGTATTCCCTTAATGTTCCAACGACTTTTGCTTAGTTCCAAGGCTCCTGACTCCTGATCAGGCAAGCTCTAAGTTCATCCTGTCTCGTGAGAACGTACGCCGAAAGCAGACCCAACTGACTGTGGTAAACGGTTAGTAACCACTGATCGCCACTGTCAGCCAGAGTGTATAGTCAAAGCAGCGGAAACGTCCAAGGATTATTCCACCGAAGAAGGCAGCCTGTTTATCAACTTGTATAGTGATGACGGTGGTTTTCTCGTATTCCAAAGGAATCCTAGAGCTATCGGTGGACTGCCATGAAAGACCTGTTTCATGCTAATCCAAACATCGCCACTAAACGTTGTAGAAAACTCATCTGAGCACAGTTCTGTGTCAGCGAATTCACTGTATTCAACAGCTTTGGCATCGCCAGATTTCCAACCTTTCCCAAACATGATGAAAGAACTGACAGGGCACTTCATCAATACAGTCCATCATAGGCTCGGAACATTTCGGCCATCCCTCGTACTAGGTGAAAACATTTCTAAATACTTTAGTACATGTTACTGTGATTTGTTATATATTACTATTACATTTTGATATGTATCATTCATCCGTTATTGAATTCAGACAATTACACGCTTACTGTGTAAGTGTGTGTCTATTCATGAAGAACATTCATTGATCGTATCAGGACACAGTGTTTTGGGTATACTTCTGTTATCTAGACACTGGGGAGTCTTTCGAAATACAAGGTGAATAATATGAACAATATTAATGGAACCATGACTTACAATTATTAAGAAGTTAAATATTACGTTTCGAGAGTAGTTATGAGGATTTGTAAAGCCTCTGGCTGAATAATTTCCAATGACATGTTTGTGAAACCAGCAACTGGTGGCCTTTATTTTTCTCCAGCAATATAGAGAACGTATTCATTGAAACCTTTTTAATCCAGAACAAAGCGTATCCAGGTAAACAGACTTCCGCACTGACGAGTATTCGGTATGGATTAATATCGTTAAGTATGCGTGGAGACCTTTCCATTACTATTTCCCGAGGGGCAGGTTTTGCAGAGTGTGTGTTTCGTGAGAAAGGTTAACACAGTTCTAGTATCTTACTTACAGTTACACAGTTTCAGAAGAACATTATCTGTACAAAATATTTGTACAGTATTCATTTCTGTGTCCAGTCATCAGGCGGTTGAGACACACAACGTAGTCTTGTTCAACTGCTATATGACTGACCACAGACTAACAGTATTTACGGAAACTATTGATATCAAAGCTGACATGACGTTAAAGATATATTTACTTCTATACATGTTATGTGTCGTATTGGGGCACAGTAAGCACCTCTCACATTCAGCCGATGTACATTCTATTAACCACATACTTCTGTGAACCTGTCATACCAATGTTGTTGTGTGTTTTGCAAGTATTTTACGCAGTATTCTTACATTCTCCGATGTATTTCACTCACACTATAAACGAGCGTTTATTACTTTATGTGCGGCGATCATATATTTACTTATTGATCGAACACTTAAAGACGACAGGTATATTAAAACTGCACACCCCAGTAAACAGCCTGATTATCGCCGGTTGTATAGCAGTCAGTGACTGTTAGCCGGCTTTGTCCAGGTGAAACTTGTTGACTAGGATACAGGTCACATTTATCCCTGGAATGTGTCATCTGGTTCGTACAAAACTAGTCCAGCTTTCACGCACGAACAATCCCGTGTACAGCTATCACTGTATGAAACACCTGTATCCTTGCTCGAAACGAAAGTAATTTTCACGCAATGTGCTCTCCCATTGGCATTGATGATAACATGATATTGTAGAAGGTTGCCAGTAGGGAAGTGATGTTTACATGTGTATGTATGTTTTGCACCAACGATTTATGGGTTTATGCAACACAGACACGACAGAAGCAAAATCATATATACAGTAGACGCAAACACATGTACACACACATGCACACACACACTCACTTACAGGCACACACACTCACTTACAGGCACACACACTCACTAACAGGCACACACGCACACACTCACTAACAGGCACACACACTCACTAACAGGCACACAGGCACAGACACAACACACATGCACACACGCATAAAAAACGAGAAAACCCTTTCCACATCCACTAGAAACCTCTGTCAAGAGAAGAGTCGGCAGTACGATGTCGACTTCAACGTGAGCATGTGGTTATTGTGAATCGATATCAAATAGTGATATTACCTGGCACACACACGCTTGCACACAAAGACACACACACGCACAAACACGTGTGTGCCTGTGGTTCATGTGTGTGTGTTTGTGCGTGTTTAGGGGTAGATACACATACAAACATGCAGATACAAGCAAGCATAGACACAGACACAATTATGTGCTTACGCGTTGGCGCAACAACATTTCATAACGATGTGTGTTTGTAATTGTAAGAAGGTGAGTTGTAATCCAGTGTAATTTCATAGTAATAAACGAGTTAGGTACCCATGAGAGACAACACATAAACGACGCCATTTTAGACATTATCACCATGTGACCAGGTATTAGGCATCATCTGTTGTGTCAGCAGACAAAACTGATTGCGTCTAAACCACCTGCATCCACCTGTGCCTGTTTTTCTCCGTGTACACATGTTATCCACGTGTATATCCCTATATTGTCCCCATGAAAACAACACACGACAACAAACAGCCCCTTCTACTTATACCACAAAGCTGTACATGTGTGTATTGTGATATGAATGATCAAGTTGTGATATAATGTATTTAGGCAGATACTGTGATTCAACTGTTTGTGACATGTGATAACTGGTGATATTCCTATTTACTTACAAGAAGTTTTGTCTAAGATTGTGTGCTTTTGTGTTGAGAAGAGGTAAATTAGGATTTCCATGTTTGCGTAGATATACTGCAAGAATGTGTATTGTATGGAATTGATTTCACTGAATTTTTATGATTATAGCTTATCTCTCTGTGCGCGTGAGTGTATTTGGTTTTACGTAGTATCAGCAATATTCCATGAGTAACGATGCTGGCCCTAATTCAGCAAGTTTGGGACAGACAGAGCAGGCATTACCTGCAGCATCCACATCGTCCAACATCACATTTTGTCGAAAAATAATATGTTGAAAGTAACCGTTTGTGTATAACTTTGTCTGTAGGAACTATGTGTCTATGGTGCCGCCCCCAATACCCGTCGGATTTCAGGAGTATGGTTGCGATAAGAGTCTATCACTGCTATACGACCCCATAGCAACAGTTGTACAAACTGACAGTATTAGGGACCGTTCATAATTGACGGCTGGTGTGTGTGTGTGTGTGTGTGTGTGTGTGTGTGTGTGTGTGTGTGTGTGTGCGTGCGTGCGTGTGTGTGTGTGTGCGCGCGTGCGTGCGTGTGTGTGTGTGTGTGCGCGCGTGCGTGCGTGTGTGTGATGATTTTAGGAGGGGGTTCACCCATTTTGTTCTGGGGAGGAAGGGGTCATCAATTTTGTACACAAAAATATTTAAAAATATGCTTAAAAATATGGGAGGGGGGGGGTAATTGATTTTGTACATGATAAGCAAGGGGGTTATTTACTTTGTATGTAGAATTGAGGAGGGGTGTCATTCTGCATAAAAATCATCATCATCCCCTACCCCTACCCCCACCCCAACCCCATACATTATGAACGGTCCCTTATCCAGTATCGACAAAGAAGCGGAACATCGATGTTTACATTCGATATTTTGTTTGCCCTTGATTTACTGTTGTCGTGTTGTGGTTCACAGTTGTATTCTGTTCAGCATTAGTTATGTAAAATAGCATGAGCTGATCTAACCACAATTAGCCTGCTTAGTGATGTAAACCTGCTTGATGATCAGAAGTTTCTACTCGATTAATCATGAGTTAATTTTCTTTCAACTGTTTGGTGACATCGTGGTTGAATGTTGGAATATTGGAACCTTGGAAGAACGGTACTATATTTTCTGCATTACATGCATTCGACTCCGTTGTATGCAAAACTTCCTGTCGCAAATGCCCAATTCATTTTCGATAGTTTCATATACGTCGATCTTTTCACTGGGTTATCTTAATGCTTCATAGAATTAGTTATGGTCTGAATAAAACAAAGTTGAACAAAAGTATATTCATGATAGTGACGTAATTTATCAATTTATCTATACTACCCATCAAAAGTTTAGACTCACTTAAAACACTCACTATATGTTATGTATATACATGTGGTTACATCGAAGATGAATTTCTCCACTAACTTGGGGGAACCAACTGCAAACCTTATGCAGCTGAATTGCACGAGGACCATCCATCAACTTGCTGAAAAGCATGTGCAAATATCGTGCATGTGAACAGCTACGTTTTGGTGTAAAGTTTTGTTAAGAATTCGCCAATTTTCAGTGAGTTTCATCATTTATGTAACTCATGACAATAAACTTTTTAACGTTATGAATTTGTTTTACAATACAGTTCATGTGTCAACAGTACGCTTAAACTGTATAGAATATTTTGCAAAATCTAGTTTAGATCAGTTGACTGAAGTAAGTGGCTACATTTACACTAGTGAGTCTAAACTTTTGATGGGGAGTATGTATATATGGCATTAATTCCTCAACAAGATAGTGTGTCTGTTAAGTCAGAGAGGACATTTTTATATGTTATAAACTTTTGACGTTAACATATACGCCATGTAGAAACACAAGGCTAACGAGCACGATTTTCACTTGATGAATTCCACCAAACATGATTAAAACTTACAGAACATCGCCGTGTTCATTGCAATGTAAAATATGACTGACAAAGAACTGAATAAAATGAGTAATTGTGTAATTGTGCATGCTGTTTGTCTTAAGACATAGATTGAAGGTTTTGTCTGTGTCTGTCACCTTCCAAAATATCGTCATGTCCACAGATGAGCAAAATCTTAACAAGCATCTGGTCTTATATATTATGTTCACAAATTTGGCACACAGTACTACTAAAGCATATGGATGGTCATGTGACCTTCTGCTTACTTGAAAAGGTAGCTGCTGTTTGTTCAAATGCCGATTGTTAACATGTGCTGTAGGTGAGTGAGTGAGTGAGTTTAGTTTTACGCCGTTTTAGCAATATTCCAGCAATATCACGGCGGGGGACACCAGAAATGGGCTTCACACATTGTACTCATGTGGGGAATCGAACCTGGGTATTCAGCGTGACGAGCGAACACTTTAACCATTAGGCTACCCCACCACGCCTGTGCAGTAGGTAGATGTGCATGAAATCAATGCAAAAGAATGACGCGTCTCGATTTTCCAAAGAGACGTTTCAAACTGGGCTTGAAAATGTAAACTAGCAGTGAAGAATTATTTGAATGGATCACTCAAGATCAGTGATGACATCAGGAATTCGCAAAGAGGGTGCATCTTTATCTCAGACGAAAAACAAACTTTTAACAAGACCGTAAGCTCCTAGAATTCTTGTCTGCAAACTAGGACCGTTTAATATCCCGTGTGCAAAATATCTGTTCACACAGAACGCATTTTCAGAGAGAGGAATGGTTCCAACACATGAAGTAGACACTTTGGTGGGCAAGTGTGTCATCCAAGCAGTGCGTCCACCGCAGGTCACCACCCATACACACCTTCAGTGAATCTGTACATTCATAGACAAACATACACGAACATCAACCAAATATGAACATGGGAAATAGTAAGGGGCGTGATTTGACCCCGTGGTGTCATTTGGGCCAAAACGGGCGAGTGCTCTCAGCCACGGGGTTGGTGTGCAGGGAATAGACCTGTAGGGGAAGCCTCAGCCGAAATTACTCGACACTGATTTGAGCCGGAAACTGAGCAGCGCCTCCTGCTCCGTCCAGATGACTTGGTTTCATGACGTACATGTAGTAGATGTGTACAGTACGTCCAGATGACGTGGTTTCATGACGTACATGTAGTAGATGTGTACAGTACGTCCAGATGACGTGGTTTCATGACGTACATGTAGTAGATGTGTACAGTACGTCCAGATGACGTGGTTTCATGACGTACATGTAGTAGATGTGTACAGTACGTCCAGATGACGTGGTTTCATGACGTACATGTAGTAGATGTGTACAGTACGTCCAGATGACGTGGTTTCATGACGTACATGTAGTAGATGATGTACGTCCAGATGACGTGGTTTCATGACGTACAGTACGTCCAGATGATGTGGTTTCATGACGTACATGCAGTAGTGTACAGTACGTCCAGATGACGTGGTTTCATGTAGTAGATGTGTACAATACGTCCAGATGACGTAGTTTCATGACGACGTGGTTTCATGTAGTAGATGTGTACAGTATGTCCAGATGCCGTAGTAGATGTGTACAGTACGTCCAGATGACGTGGTTTCATGAGCTACATGTAGTAGATGTGTACAGTACGTCCAGATGACGTGGTTTCATGACGTACATGTAGTAGATGTGTACAGTACGTCCAGATGACGTGGTTTCATGACGTACATGTAGTAGATGTGCACAGTACGTCCAGATGACGTGGTTTCATGACGTACATGTAGTACAATGTACGTCCAGATACGTGGTTTCATGACGTACAAGTAGTAGATGTGTAAAGTACGCGCGTGTAACGTTTAACAGACACACCGAACTATAGCTAATTTCACAGCATGGGTTCTGCCACTAATTTGACATAATCGTAAACCGTTTTGCTTTGTGATATTTTTAAAGTTTTGTTTTCTCCGATTCTACACTAGACAAGAGACTGCCACTTATAACTGTAGTTTAGAAGTTATATGAACGACACATTTGGACTTTATACTGATTTGCGCTATTGTGTTTTTGGAAATGAGGTAAACGGCTCTCTCATTTGTCGAAAACTTTGGAAATTTGCAATACCACGATTAAATACAAAACTGTTGTATGTCAGTTCCTTCAGACTCTGTATTTTTATGATAGAACATCATTTCTATATCTCATTATTTAACGAAGGAATGCACAGTGAAGAATGAATGCTTAGTGAAACTATACGTTTATCTGTTCAGGTTGTGCTGACAATATTCTGATATTTTTTTCTATTGTCTCCGCCAGGAACGGGTGTTACTGTTAGACACTTCTGACCCTGGTTATCGCTGGCTTTGATCAGCTATGTTTCCGTGACCTAGGTGTGGTATGTCTGTCAGTGAACAGGTCAGCTGGCCACAAACACTTCGTGAAACTATGCATAGATCTCAAGGAAGGATTTTCATGTTCGTGCATTTAACAAAGCATTACACTCACGCATAGATTAAAATCGCGAAAGGTCGATGCATACAAATAGAAATTGTAAACCAAAAGTCACTGTGTTCTTCAGTCTGTTTGGTTGAAAAACATGATCGAATGGTATTCGATTCCCGGAAATTCGCTGCGTATTAATACGTACAAACATTGCTCACACCACTGTATTGTTACGTTGTCAGCTGTGACGACGTCATTCAAATCATATTGTGACGTAAAGTCTGAATGACGTCACAAATGAGCAGTTCCAGATGCTACCATGGGAGAAGGTCGGCTGATGACATTTCACTGCTGTACCCGTACTCGATGTCAATGAGTGCAGACACAAAAACGTGTGGACCTTTTGGTTTACTTTTGTGTTCACAATGTCGATAAACATCATGTGTTGGCCAATTTCCGGGTGTTACTGAGTATTTGAAGCACGGAAATATTTCATTTGAAACCTCCGGCTGACGTACTTTCGACTTTGTATGAAATTGTGTACATTCGCTGTAGAATTTAATACTCTTTTAAAATTAAACAGTTGTTCATTTATACTGTATACTTTCTTTTGAACACTAGTTTTAGCTTCTCCGATGATCAGTGCATCTGCTGCGTATAGATCACAGCTGTCGACCAGCATAGTTCGTACACCGTAAGAGAAGTTGTCCCCATGTAGCTTGTACCATAACATATAATGATGATTTCCTATCGTTCGCTTTTGTCAATTCTTGATTTACACCAGAAATGAATATCACCTGAGAAGCTTGAAGCCCTAGAAAAGAGGTCTTATTTCATGCAAGAAATGGAGAAAATTCACATTGAGGTTCGTGGTCTATTTACTCCAGCTTTTGTGGCAGGAGGGGTGAAAAAGCAGAATCCATCTGCTGAACAGTTTGGGAGTCAGGGATGGACATGGCACAAGGTTCCAAGTACTTAGAAATTGCCGAATTTGGTTAGCATAACATGTGATGTGTATCCAAGTTCCCGACAAGTAGTGTAGGAGTTATCTGAAACAATTGAATAGAGTCAGGTCTCAGGTCCGTATGGGTAGCGTGGCCGAGCGGTCTAAGGCGCTGGTTTAAGGCACCAGTCTCTTCGGAGGCGTGGGTTCGAATCCCACCGCTGCCACAATTCTT